TTTTTTTTTTTGGGGGGGGGCGGGGGGGGGGGACATTCAGGCCTGAAGTGCTAATGTTTTATTTGGTGAAAATGCTCAAATTGTACGTGAAATGGATTTTGCTGGACTTAGGGTTATTTATTTTTGAGTCATGTATATAATGTTTAGGTTTAAGTTTTTTTGTACCCCAGAATGTATTTCTTACAAGGTTTTGATTAGATGATGTTAACAGTTATGTCATCACTCCATATAATGAGTATCCACCACTGCTTGGCTTGCTCTTGAAATTGTTGAATGGTGAGCTAGCATGGTCTACCAGGCGTGAAGTTATGAAGGTGGTTAGACACTCTCTACTGGTGTAATCCTTTCTGGATATAGTTTTTATGCTGAAAGGTGATGGTTGCTCACCAGGTTCTTGGTATAATGGGTGCTTTAGATCCCCACATGCATAAGCGCAACCAGCTAAGCTTGCCAGGGTCATACGGCGAGGTTACCCATGCAGCCAGTGATGCAGGTCAACACATCCGGTCCATGGATGAAGTTCCTATGGAACTGTGGCCATCTTTTGCAACTTCGGAAGATTATTATTCCACGGTAAAATCTGTAGTTGCAGTTTTCCATTGTAAAATCTGTAGGTGCAGTATTCCATTGTAAAATCTGAACCAGAAGTGTGACGCTTGTTATTCGCGCCTCTCTAACCCCTGTTACATTTCCAGGTTGCTATCAGCTCACTCATGCGGATTCTTAGGGATCCTTCTTTGTCTAGTTACCACCAAAAAGTTGTTGGATCTCTCATGTTCATATTCAAGGTTTTTTTTCTTCCTCTTTTTGAAAAATACATTTGCTTCTTTAAATTTCTTATTCTTCCAAAGTATCCCCTCAGAAAAACCTCCTCCTTTTCTTCCTGACCTTCGACATTGATCAACATTTGATATTTTTTACTGTTTCTGATTTATTGCAAGATTAGTCAATGGGTCTTGGCTGCGTTCCATACTTGCCAAAGGTTAGTCCATTAATTTGGCCGTTGAAATTGCTATGCTGCTTGTAATGATTTTTTAGGTTTTGAATCATTTACTTGAAGTTAAGAAGCACGGACACAGATATATATATATATCATGTGAGAAATTAAAAATATTATCATAATAATCTTTTAATTTATCATTTCCCTAATTCTAAAAATTCACATCATGATATCAATAAAAAGTTCAATATAAGATATACTGATACACATTCAACATTAACATCCATGATCGAACAATCAATGACAACTACTACAACTTTTATTTTGAAAAATATTCCACTTCGTAACACTAATTTTCATTAATTTCTAAAAGTCTTAATTTTGTAACCCCATTTTTTCTCACGTTACTTCCATATTTAAAAGTTAAATCCATTTGTATATAAGTTCGTATTCGTATTCAAAATTATGTTACATTTATGTCCTATGTTTAATGTAATGATTATAACTACTTTTATATTATGATTGTGATTCATATCCCTTCAAAATTATAAAAATAACTTTTAATTATAATATTATAAAAATAACTCTTATTTATAAAATTATTGAAAAGTTCTCAAAACGTATCCCCCAACGTATCCTGACTATGTCCTCAATGTATCTTGAGCGTATTGGCTGCGTGTCCCCAACATATCTTGAGCATGTTGTCCGCACGTCGTGAAAAAAATTTAACAATAAAAAAATTGGATATTCATTTTAACATGTCTGAAGCGTGTTTTTGTGTCCCCGACGTGGCCGACATTGACACTTTGCCCAAAATGAAGTGTCCATACTCCATGTTTCCTAGACTTGAAGGAATAAGTGTCATGTGAACTGTCCCATCTCTTTTGAACACTTGGCGAAACTCCCTATGGGTTTTCAACATAATTTTCCTTTTCTTCGAATTGATCCTGTGAAGCTTATGGTAAATTATGATAGGAAAAGGGGTAGTTCACCCTTTCTCCTTTCTCGGAGTTCCTTTTTGTTTTTTTGCTCTCATTTTTTGAGGGGGTTGGGGTGGGGGTGGGGAGAAAGGACAAGAATAAGTTAGTCTTATGTACGAAGTAATCTACTGAATGATCAAACAATGTTACTTTTTTAGGATCGCATATTTTGTATCTGTCACGTCTTGGAAATATGAATCATGTAATTGTCCGGAAGACTTGTTTAATGTTTTTTGGAGCTGGACTATATTTGGTATGATGAAAAAAACCAAATGTATTGTTGATTGACCGTGCCTGATACCTTTTGTGCTCAGCAGATAGTGTTTTGGAAGTTGCACTATGCTTGAACAAGTTTTGGGTTCCACACTCTTTTTTCATATGTAGGTTTTGCCTGATCTCTTTCACACTGTTCGTACATGTGAAGATGGTCTAAAGGAATTCATAACATGGAAGCTTGGGACTCTGGTTTCAATTGTGCGTCAGGTACATTTAGACTTCATTGTTTTGTGTGCTTATTGGTGTTTTCTGATTGTCGCATTTATTTTGGAGATCATTTATGTAATGTTGTTGTGCTGTGCAGCACATTCGTAAATATCTGCCAGCATTGCTCTCTTTAATATCTGAATTATGGTCATCCTTCAGTTTTCCAGCAGCTAACCGTCCTGTGCATGGATCTCCGGTAAGCGTGGGTTCTTGTGGGCACAATTGGATGGGATTATATTATTTTTTTTACTGTTGGTCTTATGGCCTGTTGATGGTACAATTGTCATCATCGTCATTTTTTGGACCTTTATCTTAGATTCTTCATCTAGTGGAACAACTTTGCTTGGCACTCAATGATGAATTTAGAACATATCTTCCTGATATCCTACCATGCTGTATTCAAGTCCTGACTGATGCTGAACGGTTTAATGACTACACTTATGTCCTTGATATTCTGCACACCCTTGAAGTGTTTGGTGGTTAGTACTCCTTTTTCATTTTGGTTGACATCAGGTGCAAAGCCAATTGATATTTTAATTCTCTTAGAATGTATACAACCTGGAAATTCTCTTAGAATATATCCAACCTGGAAATTCTCTTATCGGTTAACATTCCAGGTACGTTGGACGAACACATGCATCTACTTCTTCCTGCACTCATTCGATTGTTTAAAGTGGATGCTTCAGTAGATATAAGATGTGCTGCTATCAAGACACTGACTAGATTAATCCCTCGTGTGCAGGTCAGCCACTAAGCTTTCCTCACTGTATAAGTTCTGTGGAACACTAGCTGGTGATGTAATCATACTGTATTAACTTTTTGCTCTTTCCTTTTCTCTTTGTCTACTTTTTTTTTGTCAGGTTACTGGTCACATATCAGCTCTCGTGCACCATTTGAAGCTTGTCTTGGATGGGTCTGTTTTGTCTTTCCTTGATTTCAAGTGGAAATAATATGAAAACCAGCCTCATACATATTGCTTGTATATAGTCATGCACTGACATAGCCATCCGTACCCACGTCTATATCCATGCATTACTTGTTGATCCCCTTCTTTGTCATTGTAAAACTGATAAAGGAAATACGAAATCAAGAGGATATGACAAGAAAGTATGCATACCTGCACTTCATTCAATTTTATGTTGTATTGATGTGTGGAATTAAGTGTTCACAATCACGGCATTGGTCTTTGTTAATTGGGCTGCTTGGAGGGGTGGACCTAACAAGCATGGACACAAACACGGACACGGGACACGGATACGCTGACACGATATTTCTCAAAAAAATAGGACACAAACATGTTAGAGACACTATAAAAAATTATATTTTATATATAACAGTATAAACGTTATTGCAAATCTAGTTATGATGATATACAATTCATAAAAGATTCAGTATTTTATGTTAAGTAAATCTTATATCTAGTCGNTTATGGTCATCCTTCAGTTTTCCAGCAGCTAACCGTCCTGTGCATGGATCTCCGGTAAGCGTGGGTTCTTGTGGGCACAATTGGATGGGATTATATTATTTTTTTTACTGTTGGTCTTATGGCCTGTTGATGGTACAATTGTCATCATCGTCATTTTTTGGACCTTTATCTTAGATTCTTCATCTAGTGGAACAACTTTGCTTGGCACTCAATGATGAATTTAGAACATATCTTCCTGATATCCTACCATGCTGTATTCAAGTCCTGACTGATGCTGAACGGTTTAATGACTACACTTATGTCCTTGATATTCTGCACACCCTTGAAGTGTTTGGTGGTTAGTACTCCTTTTTCATTTTGGTTGACATCAGGTGCAAAGCCAATTGATATTTTAATTCTCTTAGAATGTATACAACCTGGAAATTCTCTTAGAATATATCCAACCTGGAAATTCTCTTATCGGTTAACATTCCAGGTACGTTGGACGAACACATGCATCTACTTCTTCCTGCACTCATTCGATTGTTTAAAGTGGATGCTTCAGTAGATATAAGATGTGCTGCTATCAAGACACTGACTAGATTAATCCCTCGTGTGCAGGTCAGCCACTAAGCTTTCCTCACTGTATAAGTTCTGTGGAACACTAGCTGGTGATGTAATCATACTGTATTAACTTTTTGCTCTTTCCTTTTCTCTTTGTCTACTTTTTTTTTGTCAGGTTACTGGTCACATATCAGCTCTCGTGCACCATTTGAAGCTTGTCTTGGATGGGTCTGTTTTGTCTTTCCTTGATTTCAAGTGGAAATAATATGAAAACCAGCCTCATACATATTGCTTGTATATAGTCATGCACTGACATAGCCATCCGTACCCACGTCTATATCCATGCATTACTTGTTGATCCCCTTCTTTGTCATTGTAAAACTGATAAAGGAAATACGAAATCAAGAGGATATGACAAGAAAGTATGCATACCTGCACTTCATTCAATTTTATGTTGTATTGATGTGTGGAATTAAGTGTTCACAATCACGGCATTGGTCTTTGTTAATTGGGCTGCTTGGAGGGGTGGACCTAACAAGCATGGACACAAACACGGACACGGGACACGGATACGCTGACACGATATTTCTCAAAAAAATAGGACACAAACATGTTAGAGACACTATAAAAAATTATATTTTATATATAACAGTATAAACGTTATTGCAAATCTAGTTATGATGATATACAATTCATAAAAGATTCAGTATTTTATGTTAAGTAAATCTTATATCTAGTCGTGAATTTTAATACTAAAGTATCTTCATAATAATCAATAATCATCATTTTTTTTTTTGTACACAATGTGTACCTAATATATAATTTAATTAATTAATCTCATTTTCTCAATTCCTATTTTTTAAAACTTTTATGGATCGTTTTTTTTTATTATTATTTTTGGAGTACAATTTTAACATGTCTAGTGTCAGTAATTATATGTTGTTAAATTTTGAAGCTTTGTGAATCACATTTCAACACATATTTATTGTTTAATAGTAGATACATTGTAAAGAAGTGTCGGACACATATCCGAAATTAAAAGTTTATTATTTAATTGTGGACACGGATAAAAGAATGTCCGAAGAGTGTTGGTGTTCGATATGGTATGTCACCTTTCTTGAGAGTGTCCGTGCTTCATAGGGGTGGACTAGGCAGAGCCCAATCTTCCAGTTTTTTTGTGCACTGAAAGGCTGTGCATGAACTTGGACCTGTGTTCTCACCTTTGATGGCCTGAGCTTTTCCATTGTCCAGTTACTCAGATGATCTGTACATGTAGCTTGAAAGTCATTTGTAAGAAGAGGCATTCCAGTGCTTGTAAATGTTGCCTTCCCTTGTCCTTTATGGTTGTTCCCAGATGAAAAAATGCTACTATTTTGGCTTCTTGTGGCTGTCGATCTTTATACACCCTTCTTCTACTCCCAATCTTATTTACATGGTATTCCATAGATTCTCTGTAATATTTTTTTTTCCATGACCTTCTAAATTTTAGAGCGTTACTTTGATGGCCTGAGCATTTCCATTGTCAAGTGACCTTGGTTTGTTCCAAAAAGTCCATTCTTCTTCCCAATATTGGTGAATGTTCTTATTAAAGACACGTCATGTTCATGATTTTCATGGTGTTTCCTTACAGCTTATCATGTGTGATTGGAGTTGACATTCTTCTTACAGGCTGTGGTTAAGTTGGATTTTTGTGAGTGCCTTGTGAGATAGATTAACAATAGTTGATGCTTTTCCCGTTGGTAGCCCAATCTGCTTTTTACTCTGCAAATCATCCGAGTCAATTTGGATTTAGGACTTGTATGCAGTCTACGGTCCACATAGAGCATGTTATAGTTCCCCATTAAATCTTACCTCTGGCATTGTTGGGAGATTTGAAGGTCTTGAGCTTATTTTTTATGGTGGCTTCTCAATCCTTACACATAGAATGTTAAATAATAGCAGGAGGGTGTTGTTATGGTAATCCTGTTGCTGGGTCTTTGGACCTGGCTAGACTGTGTAGTTGGGTTGTCAGGGAATTAATGTTTTTAGCTAAATTTGTATAAGATCATATCTCTGTCTCTGGAAATTCTACCAGGATTTTGGCTTCCAGATGTACATTATTGTATCCCCTTTACACCTCTTGTTATTTCCTTTTCTTTTACCATTGATTCTCTCTTTCTCTCTCTCCCACTTTTCCCCATGTCAGTTAAATTTTTTGGGGCAGCTTGGTGGGACAAGATTTTTAGCTTCCATCTATTAAAAAAGCCAACAGCTTGATTAAACGTTCCAGTCTTCCAGATATCACATAGTGCCCTGAGTTTGAATTCCTCCAAGTTGTATGACCTGCCTTAGGCCGTTTGGTCTTGGTGAAAGTTTGTTTTTCTTGTGAAGCTCAAAAAGATTCACTTCAACTCTTGGAGATGCTACACACAACAGAAGCAAAAGATAATGATGAAAATGGTACAGTTTTAGGTATTTATTAAAATTTTAAAATTGTTGCAGTGCTGTGTGGATCCTTGAAAGGCCCAAAATGTTGTGGTATAGGTGGAAAAAGCCGTAAAAGGTTTTGAACTGAGGAAGAAATGGTTAGTCAAATTTTTACTAATGTGGGATATGTTCCTAAGCCATTTGAACTAGTTAACATAAAATTTATGCTGCTGACCCTTGGTTTCTCCCCCACTCACAAGAACCCAAAACAGCTTTTGGTAGATTGTGTTTCGATTACTGTGCAATGATCTCTCTCCCCCCTCCACCTCTTCAGAATATTTCAGTTATCCCTTTTGTTGCTTGAACACTTTTTGCAGTAAAAACGATGAGCTTCGGAAGGATGCTGTTGATGCACTTTGCTGTCTTGCTCATGCCCTTGGGGAGGACTTCACGATTTTCATCCCTTCAATTCGCAAGCTTTTGCTGAAGTATCACTTGCAGGTGTTCCTTTGTTTCCCATGCTTGTTTCTATTATATTCAGATTTTTATTTGTTGAACTGGCGTGCATCTGAAGATTTTGAACATAGAAGTAATTTCTATTTCAGCACAAGGAATTTGAAGAAATTGAAGGGCGCTCCCAAAGACATGAACCACTAATCCTGGCTAGCACAACTGCCCAAAGATTAAGTCGACAGCTTCATGTTGAGGTAATCAGTGATCCTCTAAGTGATGTGGAGAATGACGATGGGATTGATGTTCACAGGCAGTTTAGAAATCATCAGGTATTTTTTATTGCTTGTTTAGTTCTCAGGAGTGTACATGGTTTCTTCAAATGGACATGGTTTCTTCAAATGTAACACTTCTGGCAACACACCTGCCTATGTGTTTTTCACCTGTGATCTGTTGTTCAATTGTTTTTTGTGCTTCCTTGTATGCTTCGGTTGTGTCATAACACCTTCACTTTTGACATATTCTACAAATTGATAGCAGTGTGTCGGCGATATCCATAGAAATAGTACCTGTTAGTAAAGAAATGAAAGCAAAACATATTTTTCCTTGAATTATGGCCAAAAGGAAATCCAACTTGTAACGAACTTAATGAAGCCTCCCTGAATTAATTATGTATTTGCACTTTTTTGCCACTTTTGTTTCGCTAAAGAAAATCTGCAACTAGAGAGCAACCTAAAAATGTGAAGAAATAAAAATAGCATTCAAAGATATTCTTTACTTATCAGTCAGATAGAGGTTGAAGGTTTTTCTAGCAGGGATTTTAGGGGTTGCAATAGGTGAGTGGTCTTTAAAGTATTTAGACATTCCTTTGGATGGGAATCTGTCGTCTTGGACATTTTAGGATCTGGTTTTGTAAAAGTGAGAGGCTTGGGTTTGTCTTTCTATTGTGGATAAGTTGTTGTAGATTAAGTTTTGGGGTTTTAGAAAGAAAAAGGAAGCAAGAGTACATGGAATGGTGCATTTATGACATTTCTGTGGCGCATTTGGATGGAGAAGAATGCAAGAATTTTATAATTGTTATCTTCATTCTGAGTTAGTATTGGAAAGAATTGCTTTCATGGCTTCAATTTGGACGGAAGCCACAGGAAGTTTGAGAGGCTTACCTTTGTCGGATCTCCAACGGAATTGAATGGCGGTTCCATTTTAGTTTTGCTACTCTTTGATATGTATTTTGATATTATTCTCTTTCGATGATATCTTGTCCTCAACATTGTATCTTTTCTTCATTTCCTTCTATGATAAAATTCTTCTTTTATCTAAACAAAAAAAGCTTTAATGAGTGATTTCCTTCTGCACAAAATTCACTGTGGCATTCTGTATTGAATAGCAAATGTGTATTACAAGCTAATATGTGAGATGCTAGTGGAGTTGAAAAGGAGGTTTTTAATGTTCATGGAAAGTCTTTCTTAGATTTCTTGAAAACGTTAAATTTTTTGAAGGTAACCAAGAGAGAGTACAGTTTTGGGAGGATTTTTGGGGTGTAGGGCTAATTTTTTTAATGCTTTTCTCTCGACTTCATCATATATCTTATGCTCGTAACACCTCTCTCGCTGCCATGACTTGGTCTAGATGTCATTCAGTCTTTTAGGATTTTTGGAGTTGGCTTCAATTCTCTCTACGTTTAATCTTTTGTTGATGTCCATTGTTTCCCCATCTTTGATAATTTGGCAGGCTAAAGTGCACATTAAAGTGTTAAGTTAGTGCATAAAGTACTGCTCATGGTAAGATTAATACATGATATGGTTCAGAGCTCTATTGCATTGTCTTTGTTGAACAAAATGTTTAATTTGGTGGGTATGAGCTGGGTGACTCCTTGGTCTTTTTCTTCATTGTTTGTAGAGAACTTCAAGGGTTTCGGGAGGCACAACAACAGGGTGACTCTTCGAATTGTGCGATCCGTGCTATTGTTTTGACCATTTGGATAGAAGGAAATGTTAATAAACACTGATGTGATTTGGTGGACGACCTATGGTTTCGGATTTGTTTTTAGCTACTTTTTGGGATTTGATTTTAAGGATTTTGATGGAATTCCACTTATTTGGTGTTTTGGTTGGTTGGAGAGTGTCATGTGATTCATCTATTAGTTGATGTTGTTTCCTTGTTTTTTTTTAAAAATTTGGGGTGGACTGTTTGTCCAGCCCACTCTATCTTCTAATGTAATACTTTTACGTCAACAGAGTCATTTTATTTCCCATCCAAAAAAAAAAAAAGAATTTCCTTTGGAATCTATAGTTTCCTTGGAAGTCCAATATGCCTATACCTATGTCAAAGGGACGTGCAGAAAAACAATGAAATCGTTCTTTCCTATGACACTCAAACGTTTTCGATGAGATTAGGTGTTGCCTGAGGATAAAAATCATGCTGCATTAGTATGCCAGAGCCTGGATTATGTCGGGGTTGTCTTTGCAAGGAAGGTGAATGGATTGTTGGTTGATTGCTTGATGTTATCTTTCTATAACTCACGAATTTTTTACCCTAACAATCGGTTTGCTATAATTTTCACTTCATAATGTATGACTAGTTTTTGCAATTTTCCAAAATTTTGTTTACATATAAGAAAGTGATTGTGTTTTCCTGGCCAACACTACTAGAAGGTAAGAAGGATCTTGTTGTCTGGAATAAGCAGAAAAACAATATAGTTAGTATTAGGATTCTGATGGGTGCAAAAACGTTTCATTCAGTATCAGTATTCAGTTTACTTTTGGATAGCTGCAATAGCAATCCTAATTAGGTCACAACTGCACATGCGGAAAAAGGGAAGGGATGGCTTTGTTTAAGACATCTTTTGGACTGTTGCTCGGCAAGAACTTTCAAATTAAGTTTGAATACCTCGGCTGCACAATGGTGCTGGCTGCAAAGCATTATCGATAACAATTTCCAATTCTCAAACTAACCTTTATTAAGACAACTAGATCTGACATTTTTTTATTTTGCTAAGATTATATATGTCGAATTTGACTGTTGAGCCAATGATGAATTCTGTTATTGGCAATGCATGCAACTGGCCTTTTTATCGTAGCACTAAAGGGATTGCTTGTGTTCATTATTCTTGGATGCCGTTGCATGAATATAGACTCTAGAAGCTCTGTCAGATTGCATTTAAAATAACGTGATTAGGGGAGACCATTGATATTTATCATCTGAGACCGTCATCTCTTACTTATTATGGAAATGGATAATGTCATGTCATAGGTTGGTACGATGGGAGTCTGTTCTTAACAAGCATTTGTGAGAAGTTACGGACGAATTCTTCTTTATTGAGTTGAGCTTTTTCATTATTATTTAAAAGTTATTTGCTAAAGACCCGATTACTCTTTCTTCAGGATTTAATGGCACTAACAATTTATTTTGACAAGATGATTGTGTGAAGGAATGATTTTATGTGGCTTGCGTAGTTTTCCAACTTAGAAATGGAGAGGAGGCTGTTATGACGTATGCAAGTTTCATACAGGTTAATGATGCTAAATTACGTGCTTCTTGCGAGGCCTCTCAGCGCAGTACAAAAGAAGATTGGGCAGAATGGATGCGGCATTGTAGCATTGAACTCTTAAAGGAATCACCTTCTCCAGCTTTACGGACCTGTGCTAGGCTTGCACAGTTGCAGGTATTGTTAATTGTTTTTAAGTCTGTCAATATCACTTTTGGAATCAGGTCTCTGATTCTAGCCTTGCAGCCTTTTGTTGGACGGGAGTTGTTTGCCGCTGGTTTTGTTAGCTGTTGGTCGAAACTGAGTGAGGCGAGCCAAAGGCATGTAGTTCGGAGTTTAGAGATGGCATTTTCTGCTCCAAACATTACTCCTGAGATTCTTGCGACGCTTCTTAACCTGGTATATCTTTTGTCCCTTGCATGGGGAGCATTTACTTTCAATACCCACATTGACAACTGCCTCAGAAAGTGGAGGGAAAGGCATGGGATTTTACTATTATTGAACACATGCCTTTTCTGAGTTTTTGTTATGAGCTACATCTAGTATTATAGTTTTGTTATAACATGGAATAGCTTATATGCTGTATCAACTAGAATATTGCCTGCATAGTGTGACGATGATTTCACTCTTTTGAGCTGAGTAGTTTGTGTGACCAATGTATCAATGCAATGTAAAAAACTTCGTTTCAATTACAAGTATGAAAGGAGACTTATGATAATCATAATTCTTGTTTGATGAAAACTTGAGTTGGCACTTCTCAGTCCATGATATTCACATTTGGAGGAAATTATCCTCCATTCAAGGAGCAAAGGGAAGTCACTTTGGGTCCAAAGTCCTGTTTGTGTTACGAAGTATATCATATTGAGTCGAGGACTTCTATGCTTGATGGAGGTCTTGTATTTTTTGAGGATGGTGTTGTTAGTAGATATTGAGTGCTAGTAGTGAACTTCTGGATTGGGAAAATGAAAATTTCTCGGATAGTGGGAGTATTTTGGATATATTTCACTATTATATAGAATTATATATAACTATACATGCATACTACCATAATCAATTAATATTTATTTTGTATATGCCATCACAATTTCAAAATGAGTCATAATACAAAACAATGTATAAGCTAAGAATTGTGAACACTAGAAGTTAATATATATTGTTTTATGGAAAAATTCAACTTAAAATCTAAGTTTAAAGATCCCAAAATAAAGAAATAAAGTATACCAAAGAAGGTTGCAATGTGGGGTTAAAGTTATAATTTAGGATTGGGAATTTAGACAATCGAAGTTATGACCTCCCATGTAGTTGGGGTCGTGTGACCTAGATCATGTTTCTTAGGGGTATCTAGTATCTATGATATCGGTATCCTCGATAACGACTAACTTGAGATGTTTGTGAGAGACTTCGGTTAAGTTTGGAGACATTAAATAAGCAAAGGGCCGTGAGTGGCAACACGATCCTATTTTGGAGTTGGATATTTGTATAGGTTCTTTTGAATAGTGCTATTTACATTTAAACATTTTCTTTGGCCCGATTTCACTAAATTCCCCTCAACATTAGATTTATATAGTTAACCCCTTGTTACGGGAAAAGTGAAAACTGTCACAAAATTTGCAATTTTAATGAAAGGTCAAAAATTGATTTCTTTAATTTTTTATTTATTCTTCCTTTGAAAAAGTCTCTTTGTTTTTTTTAAAATTTTTTTTGATACGAGAAAAATTTTATACTAGCAAGAAATCAAAAACAATACAATGTTGTGAACAAGGTACCCTCAAAAAAGAATAAAAGCAAAATACCTATCAAAGAGAAGCAGTTAAGGAAAAAAACTAAAGCAGTGCGACCTCTCAATTTGGCTGGAGATGCGACAAGGCAAACCTCCAAAACTTTTAGTGGCTTCGGTCTAAAGTGAAGCCATTAAACAATTATTTTTCATACTAATTCAGAAGAAAGATAATGGTAATTGAAAGTTCTGACATTCCTCTCCATCCTAATACACCAAAGAAGTACATCAACACACAATTCCGTTGTATCTTTGCTTTTTTTTTCTTTCCAAAACCCCAAAACTTTGTACGCAACATCTTGTTCATTGTAGGACAAACGCAAGCCTCATTGGTCACCTTGAATAATTTTTTCCACAAACGCTAGGAAAATGAATAGTAAATGAATAAACCAATATTCCACTCTCCACTACTTAAAACAATGAAGACAAATGGCAAGTCTCAATGCTTTATAGGACCTCTACACCTTCAACAAATTTTTAGTGGACGCCCGATTAAGGACAATAGATCAAATAGGAGCTTTACGGTGCGTTTGAAAGATAATTTGTTACTTGAAAACAAAGTATAAAGATTTTAAACACTAATCAATAGGAATTCAAAATTGATCAATGACAACCGAGTCTCGGTGGATCTTGGTGGTAGATAATGGGTCTTTGTGGTGGCGGTTGAAGTGGAGTCTTGGTAATTCTAGGTTGCTGCATAAACAAACATGCATAATATAGAGAGGGATGGAGAAATTTAGAGAGATGGGCAGGTTTGTTAACGGATATTGACGTGAAATCGCGTTCTTATGGTAGTTTGTGGTTGTGGATGGTTGTTGTCCTTTGTGTCATGTATGCATGGTTATCATGAATTGTGTAATAAGTCGTTGGGCAGTGGAATTGGTTAGGGGTGGATACACAATTTTATGATGGAGTGATAGGGAGACTGATGGTGGGGTTGGTGAATGTGGTCTTGGTGTGTGGTAGAAGAAAAAAATGGCAGAAAGAAGAAAATGATGTGAATTGGGAATAGAGTTTTAAGTTAATGGGCATCATTTTACTCTTCACCCTTAACTAATCTACAATTCTGAAAGTTGAGGAGGTATTGTTAGGCCAAAGGATGAAGATGTAAAATGTAATTTAACCTTTTTGTTAATTTGCCACATATAGCCTTTTGTTTCTTTCCATTGGAAAGTTGTTGAAATTTTCAGCTGCACTGGTTATTTGCACCTTGTAAGAAGGGGTATATGCAAGCCAAGTACGACATTTCAACCACTGTAGCTGGTTGAGAGATGCATATCTTTTAGGAAATTAATCTTCTTGTGTGCCTCTTGCGGTTTAGAAGGAAATGCAGTAATAGAAATCAATTTAAAATTATTGTTATAAGTACAAAAAACCCCTGTCAACATACATTCTATGTTCCCCTTTGTATTATAACCTAAACTGATCACTTAACTATTTAATTGGTGGTAGTTTACCAAGAAAGTGATACTCACAAAAGAAAACCAAACGAAAAAATTGTAAAAACTGAGGCCCTGTTTGGTTTGTATATCAGAAACTGTTTTATGTTTTCAAAAACAATTTTTAAGAGAAATTATTTGATCAGTTTATTTTGGTTTTTGTTTTTGTTTTTGTTTTTGTTTTTTGAAAACTGAGAATAAAAACTGGATAGATTTAGAAGACATTGAAACCACCTTTTCAAAACTTAGAAAACACCACTACCACCACCACCTTCGCACCACCACTCTTTCACCACCACGTCCACCACAACATTCCCATCACCCCCACCAATACATTTCCACCACCCTTCCACCAACACCACATGTCCACCACCACCAATACGTCCACCACCACGCCATTTCCACTACTATCATATTTATGTTTTTATTATTTTTTTGCTAAGAAGTTTGGATATGGATACGAGACACAGATACGATACGATACGGACAAACTGACACGACATTTCTAAAAAAAGTAGGACATAGACACGTTGGGGACACATTGCAAAAAAATTATATTTTATATATAATATATAATTTATTGCAAATATAGTGATAATGATATACAATTCATAATAAATTCAGTATTTTATGATAAGTAAACCTAATGTCTAGTCATCTATGTAAATTTTTAGACTAAAACATTTTTATTATAGTCAATAATCATCAAATTTTTTTTTTTTGTAGACAATGTGTACCTAATATATAATTTAAATAATTACTCTTATTTTCTCAATTCCTCTTTTTTAAAACTTTTATGCATCTTTTGTTTTTATTATTATAGTTGGAGTATAACTTTAACATGTCTAGTATTAGTAATTATACATTCTCAAATTTTTAAGTTTTGTTAGTCACATTTAAATATATGCCTATTGTTTAGTGGTATACACATTGTAAAGAAATGTTGAGCATATCACCAAAGAAATGTCCGAAATTAAAAATTTATCATTTAATTATGAATACGGATAAAAGAGTATTAGACACGTGTCTGAAGAGTGTCGGTGTCCAACACGGATGCGTCACCTTCCTGAGAGTGTCCGTGCTTCATAGGTTTTTGGGATTACTGTCCAAATAAATTTTACTTCCATTCTGTATAATTATTTTTGGAATCATATAATCAAACAAGTTTTGCAACGCAAACAACAAAAAATAATTTTCTAAAACTCTTCCCAAAAATAGTTTTCGGATACTACTTTTTAAGATGCAAACCAAACAGGGTTTGAGTTTTTCTTCCTAATTGATTTGTGANCCACCACGTCCACCACAACATTCCCATCACCCCCACCAATACATTTCCACCACCCTTCCACCAACACCACATGTCCACCACCACCAATACGTCCACCACCACGCCATTTCCACTACTATCATATTTATGTTTTTATTATTTTTTTGCTAAGAAGTTTGGATATGGATACGAGACACAGATACGATACGATACGGACAAACTGACACGACATTTCTAAAAAAAGTAGGACATAGACACGTTGGGGACACATTGCAAAAAAATTATATTTTATATATAATATATAATTTATTGCAAATATAGTGATAATGATATACAATTCATAATAAATTCAGTATTTTATGATAAGTAAACCTAATGTCTAGTCATCTATGTAAATTTTTAGACTAAAACATTTTTATTATAGTCAATAATCATCAAATTTTTTTTTTTTGTAGACAATGTGTACCTAATATATAATTTAAATAATTACTCTTATTTTCTCAATTCCTCTTTTTTAAAACTTTTATGCATCTTTTGTTTTTATTATTATAGTTGGAGTATAACTTTAACATGTCTAGTATTAGTAATTATACATTCTCAAATTTTTAAGTTTTGTTAGTCACATTTAAATATATGCCTATTGTTTAGTGGTATACACATTGTAAAGAAATGTTGAGCATATCACCAAAGAAATGTCCGAAATTAAAAATTTATCATTTAATTATGAATACGGATAAAAGAGTATTAGACACGTGTCTGAAGAGTGTCGGTGTCCAACACGGATGCGTCACCTTCCTGAGAGTGTCCGTGCTTCATAGGTTTTTGGGATTACTGTCCAAATAAATTTTACTTCCATTCTGTATAATTATTTTTGGAATCATATAATCAAACAAGTTTTGCAACGCAAACAACAAAAAATAATTTTCTAAAACTCTTCCCAAAAATAGTTTTCGGATACTACTTTTTAAGATGCAAACCAAACAGGGTTTGAGTTTTTCTTCCTAATTGATTTGTGATCAGGCTGCAGTGCATCGCATGCTGCGTTATCTTAGAGGCACTTTACATAAGTGTTTGTTATTTTCTTCCACTTCTTCTTTGGAGCTTCTTGCTTTTTTTATGTTGAGTGGACAGGTAATGTTGTGGATTGTAAGTGTTCTGCTAAGGCTAAATATTGTGCTAATGGAAATGAACAGATGGTTGCTTATCCATCTAAGTGTTTTTGTTTTTGCTCCTACTGCTATATATTGTGAGCTTGTGACAAGAAAAATGTCATTCAAATTGCACACAATTATTTTTCCATGAGCTGAGCAAGCATATCGAAATCGACTGTCCTTTTTGTGCGCCACCATCTTAACTTGAGACTATTACCTTATTTTTTGTTTATTCCACTGTGCAGTTGTAATTTCTTCACAATGTCTCGTACCACGTGTTTGCTTTTTTATTCTTGACAAACTCGTGATTCTTCTTACCGTCACATCATTACTTTGAGAGGAGTGTTGAGATTGTAATGATATTTATTTATCATTCGGGGAATCTAGTTTTTTTGTTATTGTAAGTCCAATTATTTTTTGTAATCATGAATACCTAACCGATTTCTTCTCTTCTTTCTACTTGTGTCTTGTCTGAATTTGCAAGGTTTTGACGTAAGTTTATTCACTTTTTAGGCGGAGTTCATGGAGCATGATGAGAAACCTCTTCCAATCGACATTCGTCTCCTTGGTGCTCTTGCAGAGAAGGTATAACTTTTGTGATGGAATTCTATAGTTGTACGGCCATATGCTTTCGCCCTTCTTTTTTTGGTTGTGCCTGATAAGAGGAAAAGATCATGATAGATATGTTATCATTTGTCTTGATTTGGTGGTCTTGTACTTCTCAACTCTTCATTCTAGTGTCGAGCATTTGCAAAAGCTTTGCATTACAAAGAGATGGAATTTGAGGGTGCTTGCTCTAGGAGGATGGATGCAAACCCTGTTTCTGTCGTCGAAGCGCTCATTCATATTAATAATCAACTACATCAACATGAGGTCTTTTTTATCTCTATAGATTTAACTTTTTCTGATTATCAAAAATCCTTTTTTGTTATGTTTTACTATGATCTACCTCATATTACCTTATTGGTTGTTTTTTTCTTGTAGGCTGCTGTAGGTATATTAACCTATGCCCAACAACATTTGGATGTTCAACTGAAGGAGTCATGGTATCGTTCCCGTTATCCATGACTCTCATTAATTCACTGAGTAGTTCTTTTTTGTGGTTATATTTTTGGCGGTGTTATGAAAAGCAAGCCCAGGCGAGCGCCTAGGCAAGAAGCGAAGCGAGCCTTAGTTGCCTTGAACATCCAAGGCAAAGCGAGCTTAGACGACGTAGCGAGTCAGGCGAGAAAAGCAAACGCTTAACTGTAGTTTTTTTATTTTTTCCTCCTCTTCTCCCCTCCTCTTCCTCCTTCTTTAACATTAACCAAACCCTAACAGAGATGATGTTATATATGTATATGTATAAAATAAATTGATTGAATCGTGTAACAGTATCATATGACAATCTATCTTATTATGATTAGATAATGTTGAATGTTTTGTTTTGAGGTGAATGCTTTTGTTAATCAATATGATTGGTTAAGCAAATTGATTAATCAATTTGCTATATGCTCTATTTGATTAATCAATTTGTGAGTGTTTTGTTTAGTGGTGATATTAATCAGTCACGGTGGAAATCGAACCCACATTTGCTACCTTTACATTTAGATGACATGATTATGTCAATTGATTATTTTTAGAATACAATAATGTTCAATTTTTAATATCTTGTCTATTTAAAATATGTTGATGTTTGTTATTTTGATTGCATTTAAATATTTTATATTTGTAAAGTTAAAACTTGAATATTTTGGAGTAATCAAAGTATGAAATTAAAATATTTACTTATTTTTTATATTGCTCGCTTCGCTTCTCGCTTCTTGCCTAGGCGCTCAAGAGATCGGTTCGCTTCAATTCGTTTTACGTCTTAAATAACATTGATTTTTGGCATAATCTCTGTAGATCTATGCCATCATGCATTTTGTCACTTCAATTTTGTTTATCCATATACTCACATTAGCTTTGCACTTTTTAAGGTATGAGAAGTTGCAGCGATGGGACGATGCTCTCAAGGCATACACTGCCAAAGCCTCTCAAGCATCCAGTCCACATGTTGCTTTGGATGCTACACTTGGTTTGTATTAAATTGTACCATACATCATTACATTACTCTCTCATAGTTAAACATTCTATGGTCTCATACCATTTTCATTTGTTGCAGTTCAGGAAGAAATGATCATATTCATGCCAAAAATTTTCTAGGATAACAATATCATCGGATGTAATAACCGATTACTTTTTGCATGTTCTCTAATTTATTCAAAAGAACCTTTAAGTTTATGTCCAATTTTTTTCAACCTCGATGTAGCTTAGGACTTCATTTCGAATACGGAAGTATGAATTTTCAAACATATGTTCTTCTGTCATGCATTTGATGGTAAATGCGAGAGGTAAGACTGAAAATAACTTTGAACGAAATAGTCAAAAAAAAATATGATAGCTCGTGGTTTAATGGAAAATATGGCCTTGGATAGGGTAAAATGGAGAAATTGGATTCATGTAACTGATCACAAATAGTTGGAATAGAGGCTTGTTGAGTATGTGCTTTTTTCATGTGTGATGCCCCAGTTGTGCACCTTATGGTGCCAATTTTTTGACTTTCCCAACAAAGAGGACAGATCTGAGCTATCTAGGCCCACTACCTAGGTCGTTATGTGATTTTTCACTCTCGTAGTATTGGGTGTCCTCTTGTCCTTGGGGCCTCAGCGAATGTCACTTGTGAAAGAGAGTTTGTTTTGGCTTTATAGTTGCGTCTTAATAGTTGTCACCTATTCTTTCTCAGACAACAGTGTCCAAATTTATGTCAATGCTCTGTTTCACTAGTCCATGGCACAAAGGCCATGTCATTGTAGTTGACCTTTGGTGGTTCTGATTGTTGGCAATCAATCAACTTCCCAACCGAAATTCATCAATTTATTTAGAGTCACTTGGGTTACTGCTATTTCGCTTTTTCCGGGTGATTGTCTTTTTGCAAACACAATAAAACTCTTAGTTCGATTATTTATTGTTTATGAAAATCATGTTTTTTTCACTTGTGCGTGTATGTTAAGGGCGGATGCGATGCCTCGCTGCATTGGCTCGTTGGGAGGAGCTTAACAATCTTTGCAAGGAGTATTGGACACCAGCGGAACCAGCTGCTCGTCTGGAAATGGCACCCATGGTTTGTTTGTCTTTTATGTGGCTGTCTAATATATCCTTACTCCTTTGCTAATGTGTGTGTGACATGGTTTTCCCAGGCTGCTAATGCTGCTTGGAACATGGGTGAGTGGGACCAGATGGCCGAATACGTTTCTCGATTGGATGATGGTGATGAAACTAAACTTCGGCTTTTGGGAAATACTGCTGCTACTGGGGATGGTAGTAGTAATGGTGCATTCTTTAGGGCTGTTCTATTAGTTCGTCGGGGAAAGGTAATTTTCTTTGATCTGGGCTGTTGTTCACTTCAAATTATGTTTATTAAGTCTATATTCACTTCTGATTATATGTTTCTAGTATGATGAAGCCCGTGAGTATGTCGAGAGAGCAAGGAAATGTCTGGCAACCGAGCTTGCTGCTTTGGTTAGTTTCTTCTTTTTTTTTCACTCTCACATTTGACCATTTTCTGTAGAGCATGTGATTCATGTTTCTTTTTTCAATCATTTTGGATTATTCGTGGCACATAGTTATGGTATACTTTATTTTCCAAAGACCCAGTAAAAGGTGTGCGTTATTCTTTTGGTGCTAGTTCAACAAGATCACAGATGTGATGTTTTGATGCATTATGGAGTCTAAACAGTTAAAATTTGGTTGTTATAACTTATAATTACTTGGTATATCATTATATTATAATATTACAAAATTAAAATAAGTGAACATCTGCACTCTTTCCCCTATTCAGCCAAAAATTCTTTTATAGCAAAAAAGTGGCAGCAACCAAAATATGATGCCAAAGTATTAACAGAGAGAAGATAAATGTGTGGGCCCCAGACACCTTGGAAAATTAAAGGATTCAGTTAATTAGATTGCCACTTTTGCATGGAGTAGATTGCCAGTGCCAAACCTGTCATCATTAAACTTGTTTGTCCTTATGAAGTACTAGTTCACCCCCTTGTGTAGGTTCTAGAGAGCTATGAACGAGCATACAGCAACATGGTACGCGTTCAGCAGCTGTCAGAATTAGAGGAGGTATACGTTATTTTATTTTTTTAATTTGTTTTGCTGCCTCACTGGATTTCTTTTAAACAAGTATGCCACATTGTGGTTAAAGTGAGAATTGTTTCTTTCAATAGGTCATTGATTACTGCACTCTTCCTTTGGGAAACCCTGTTGCTGAAGGGCGGCGAACCCTTATTCGTAACATGTGGAATGAACGTATAAAAGGTGCAAAACGAAATGTTGAGGTAAATACATCTAAGGCTCTTCTACTGCTACTACTACTACTTTTTTCTTTTTTTATATTATGTAGGTAAATGAGTCAAGACACCAATGCCAAGATACTGTAGAAAAATATCCTTTTTATGAATGCTGATAAATCATTGTTATTTTTTATCCACTGCAATTTCTTTGTAGTATTCAAGTATGTTCTCAACTTTTTATCTCCTGCAAGGTCTTTTAATGAATATGGTAACACCCTGTTTCATAGATCGTTTTTTGGAGGAAGTATGAATATTTAAGAAGTATCTAATTCCTCTAAAATTACAATAAAACCTCCCATGAACTAGATTAGAATATTCAAATCATGAATTTACACAAAAAGTATGATTATCCCAGAATCTTAATGCTTCAAAATTTTAATCCCACACTTGATTTCGGTTTCTGAAATCAACCTGCAACTGAGGGGCTGAGCTAGATAGCTCATGCAGGAAAATTATTAAAAAATAGGAGGACTGCAATAATTGATTCTTGTAATTGAACAAACCGAAATGTGATTAAAAATCAAATACGACACAAGAGCCAAATAAATAATACTCAACATTTCGATTACATGACAACTGACAACCTGCCTCACCACACTATCCACTATCCAGTCATTTGGATTATTGGCTACTATCGTGCCCCGTGCAAAGTACATTAAAAAGTTAATATTTAAATGAGTTACTATGGTTAAAAAGTTAAAATTTAAATAAGTTACTGTAGTTAAAAGGTTAATATTTAACTCAGTTACCATAGTTAAAATATTAAGAGGTTAAATCATAACATCAACCGTTGGATCTAAACGATCTGAGATGTTGTTGTGCTTTTCTAACTGAGGAGCTGAAGCTGCTTGCATGAGGCTCTGTTTTATTAGTATATGTTAAGTGTAGAGGATTAACACAATATTAGAGAGAAATAGAGAGAGGTGAAATCTTAACTTAGCTCTCATACATCACTTGTATTTATAGTTAACTCACAATAATAAAAATTACACATACACCCGCTTACTATTAACAATTTGCACATACTACTCTAATATTCTTAACAATATAGATCGGCAACTTATGAACAGGTGCACTTTTACAGGTATCGAATTGTTTCGAAACAATTATTCGGGAGATACAATAGTAGAAATTCATAGAATTGTGAAATGATCACAACATAATCAACATCATCTCAAATTCTGGATAATTATAGGAATTGCTTTTCGCAAAGAGATTTAAAAATGAGGTTGTAAATAACTCACTTACCCAGCCCTCAACTAACACCAATAGATATGCACCTCAAGACACCACAAACATAATACTTTAATGTCATGAGAATTGGATCACAATCACCATTTGGATTTTCGTTTAAACTCCTAGTCTAAACTTGGTTTTTTATACTTTCGGTCACTATCAGTATTACATAGTATTACACAGCATCCTATAAAGGTCTGACGTCCTTCCTATGCAAACACAACACACACGTGGCAGTATATTTCCTTTCTTCCCACTTACACGCAAGCATATATACATGCATGTTTATTTCGCCTGGTCAAACAAAGTACATTTGTGCACTCATTACACTTGGTAGTTTGACACCCCATTTCAATCAAACGTTCGATATAATTTCATATTCCTCCCTTCTATTTCTTACAATTTTGTCATGATGCCTATTGTAATTCTAAATAAATTATAGATTAACCCCAACTGAATTTAACTACATTTTTTATTCACTTTTTGGGTTAGGGTATCACCAAGATCTACTAACGAATGGCAAGTTGGTTTGCTTTGGATGAAAATAGACTTTATAGAATTTTGTACAACATATATAATGGGGTGGATACAAGTGGTGGATGTAGGGGGCTTTGGGCGTCAATTGATGCTAATGGTTTGGGGCAATGGATGGGCATTTGGAACGGTTGAGTGATATTAAGCTTTCTGTAGGAAATCATCACATGTTAAGGTTTAGTGAGATACATTATCCGAGGAGACACTGTTGAAAGAGGTTTCTTGTTTTTTTTTTGGGGATTGTAGTGGAGGAGGTCATATTGAAGGATTATGTAAGGTTTTTCAAAGGGAAAGTTTGTGAACTTTCATTTAAGAGTCATCAGAATTGCAAGTTGAAGGTAGGGGACAATTCTTAGTGTGTGTTTTTGGCTTCTAATGCTAGATTATGGTAATTTGGGAGGAAACACAAAGCAACACTCAAAAACCACACTACGGAATCCACCAAAGGGTTGTAGAGCTACTTAAATAGAAGAAATCCTTCTGCTTAAAAGCGAAAGGCTTAATTATTAATAATGCCAAGTTTTTTTTTTCATAATTCAACACTTCAAGGATCCTTATGCAGTCTAATCTTGGAACACCTATCCAAAGTAGATTCCATTGCAAAAGCACAATAGCAAGATAGCTAACACAAGTTACTAAGAAAATTCTTGACCAAGGTGAAATAAGCATATGAAAAACTTGAGACTCGAATACAAAATTTTATATCACTACATAGTAAATCTTCGAATTGACCAGCCAATTGAGACACTCTTCGATATAGTTACCATAACCCTCCTCAGAAACTCCAAATGATGGGATGTTGGTTCCATTAGAAAGTAGTAGTTTCATAGATCTTTGAATTGGGCTTTGGCTTTCACTATGGACTACCATTGGCTTGTCCTTTAACACCTGGGTGTCTGTTTTGTATCAGAGATGAAGTAGATGTCATGCGTCAAATTTTATCGAACGGTTTTAGGTTGCGGCCAGCTTTTACTGTCGCGAGTTATTTATAAATCAGATTTGTCCCTTGGATGATTATTCTCTAGAAAATTTGGAAAGTTATTTTTTATTATGAATGTTGTTTCATTAAAAGGTGCCTAGGAGGGAATTCTCCCAAAANTTAGGGGGCTTTGGGCGTCAATTGATGCTAATGGTTTGGGGCAATGGATGGGCATTTGGAACGGTTGAGTGATATTAAGCTTTCTGTAGGAAATCATCACATGTTAAGGTTTAGTGAGATACATTATCCGAGGAGACACTGTTGAAAGAGGTTTCTTGTTTTTTTTTTGGGGATTGTAGTGGAGGAGGTCATATTGAAGGATTATGTAAGGTTTTTCAAAGGGAAAGTTTGTGAACTTTCATTTAAGAGTCATCAGAATTGCAAGTTGAAGGTAGGGGACAATTCTTAGTGTGTGTTTTTGGCTTCTAATGCTAGATTATGGTAATTTGGGAGGAAACACAAAGCAACACTCAAAAACCACACTACGGAATCCACCAAAGGGTTGTAGAGCTACTTAAATAGAAGAAATCCTTCTGCTTAAAAGCGAAAGGCTTAATTATTAATAATGCCAAGTTTTTTTTTTCATAATTCAACACTTCAAGGATCCTTATGCAGTCTAATCTTGGAACACCTATCCAAAGTAGATTCCATTGCAAAAGCACAATAGCAAGATAGCTAACACAAGTTACTAAGAAAATTCTTGACCAAGGTGAAATAAGCATATGAAAAACTTGAGACTCGAATACAAAATTTTATATCACTACATAGTAAATCTTCGAATTGACCAGCCAATTGAGACACTCTTCGATATAGTTACCATAACCCTCCTCAGAAACTCCAAATGATGGGATGTTGGTTCCATTAGAAAGTAGTAGTTTCATAGATCTTTGAATTGGGCTTTGGCTTTCACTATGGACTACCATTGGCTTGTCCTTTAACACCTGGGTGTCTGTTTTGTATCAGAGATGAAGTAGATGTCATGCGTCAAATTTTATCGAACGGTTTTAGGTTGCGGCCAGCTTTTACTGTCGCGAGTTATTTATAAATCAGATTTGTCCCTTGGATGATTATTCTCTAGAAAATTTGGAAAGTTATTTTTTATTATGAATGTTGTTTCATTAAAAGGTGCCTAGGAGGGAATTCTCCCAAAACATACAATTTCTACAATAACGGCTCTTATGTTTCAACATGTTAGTATAGTTCCCTGAAAAATTCACCTTAACATGAAAAAAAATCTATGTGAGGATGTTACTCAAAGTGGGTTCATGCATGAATTGTCTTTGTGCTTCAGAATTAAATTACATAGTTGAAACACGTTTGTTATAAGATTGTGGGTGAATTACATAAATGTTATTGGACTTGGGGAAAAGCAGTAACTTTGCCAAAAAAGAGTGATACAATTGGTGAGAAAACCAGAATAAAGCTATCCGCCAAAACTGTGGGGAAACTTATTGTGGAGGAACTTATAAGTGGATCCATCAAGTATATCATGGTTTTTGAGATGCTAAGCTATGTTAGATTTTGTAATTGGGCAGCTAGTTCCTTAAGAGATTGGAAATGATAATGATGATTATTAAGTTTAAAGGAATGGAGAGAATGCACACAATATGAAAGAGACAAAGAGGAGGCTAATTTACCTTATCTCTCACTATCAATTGGTATTTATAGTTATCTAATAAAACACAAAAGACTGGTATACCCTTAGAGAGGTATACTTGTTACAACTATAATAATACTCTCAACACTGCCCTCCAATATCTTGTCCCGAATAAAGTGACAATTAATTTCGATATATTTGGTTCTTTCATGGAATACGGGATTAGCAGTAATATGAATAGTTATAGCAGTGTGATTATCACAAAATAGTTGTAAAAGGAAGCTGGACTTAAAAACCAATCTCCTAAAGGAAGTGTTGTAACCTTGTCAACTCACCTGGTGGTATGTGTCATCGTCCTATACTTAGTCTCAGCATTGGACCGTGGCAATCTATTTGTTTTTTACTTTTTCATGTAACTACGTTATCTCCTAAGAAAGTATAATATCCAGTTTTTGATTTTCGATCCGAGGAAGAGCCAACCTAATCAGCATCGGTATAGCCTTCTACTCTAAAATGTCTATTAGTTTGATACAATAATCTAAGTCCAAGAGCACGTTTAAGGTATCAAAGAATGCGGATGACTGCATCCCAATGTGGTATTCTCGCGTATCCCATAAACTGGTTCACAACACAAAGTGAATATGCAATATCTAATCAAGTAATAATGAGATAGTTTAGCTTCTCAACCAACTTGCAATCTGGATTTTCAAACAATACATTATCATCCATCAATAGCTTTTGATTCGAATCTATAGAAACATCAATTGGTATACCCCTTAGTAAATCTGTTTTTGCTAGCATGTCAAGTACATACTTTCGTTGATATATACAGATTTGAGAAACTTTCTGGCAATTTGCCTTTTTCGAGATCTTTTATGGCTCTATTAGTTTTTTTCTTCTCACGAAGGTCACTTCGCTCGCCTAAGAAGTGTGGCACTTTTCGGATCAATTACATGGGAGACAAATGCCCTGCTTAGACCTGACAACTTCAATACCCAAGAAATACGTGAGTTTGCCTACGCCGTTAGTATGAAATCATTTATGGAGGAAGACTTTAAACTTTGCAATACCATAAGAATCATCTCTAGTAATTACAATATTATTGACATAAACAACCAGTATAATGTATTCAGAATTAGTATGTGTATGGAAAATTGAGTAATTTGTCTAACATCTAATCACGCCCTCGGTGACTGTGCTTTAAACTATACAAATATTTCTTTAGCCAGCAAACACTCTTATGATACTCTCCTGCGCAGCAAACCCAGGTGGCTCCTCTATATATACTTCATCAGCCAAGTCATCGTGCAAGAAGGCATTTTTCATATCTTACTGAAACAAAGGCCAATGAAAACTATAAGTCAAAGAAATCAATACACGAACCGATGAAATTTTGGCAACAGGAGAAAATGTTTCTTAATAATCAATGTTATAGGTTTGAGTAAAATCCTTGGCAACAAGTCTGACTTTGAGCCGTTCAATAGAATCATCAAGATTAAATTTGACAATATACACCTACTGATAGTCAACAGTCCTTTTATCAGGATGTAAAGGGACAAGCTCCCCAGTCCCGTTATGATGTAAGACATCCATCTCCACTTCGATAGCTTTCTTTCAACCCGGATCAGATAACGCACCCTGTAATGTCTTAGGAATAGATATAGTAGACAGCGGAAAGATAAAACTAGAAAAAGCAAGAGACAAAGTATCATAAGAAACAAAATTAATAATATGATGCCAAGTAACACAAGACTGAATATTTTTACGGAGAGCAATAGGTAAAGAGGCATCAGTTACTAGAAGACTAGAATCGGACGACGGCAAGGAAGATGGTAGGGGCACTTCAGTCGATGATCGTGGACAACGAGAATATACACAAAGTAGGACATGAGCATGCTGGGGTGATGAAGAGGGTGGTAATAGATTAGGCAGACGGTAAGGGAAGAGGTGGGGTGGAGGTGACAATTCAAACTCAAGGTCTTAGGCTCTGTAGAGACAAACCAAACAAAATTAGATCACGTCACCTGAGGTGAAATTTGTTGAGAAATAGATGAGGAGGGCTGAACTGATGCGAAAGGAGCTTGGCGTAATGGGGAAAGAACTGAACCGAATTGAACTGGCGTAAAGGGGATCTGAACTGGCCTTGAAACCCCAAAAAGTAGAAACCTGGGGTGAACTGGTTCTAAAACTGCCTCTGAACCAGCTGAAATCCACTGGAACCTACTAGAAACCCACAGAACCGGATTGAACTGGTGTTAAAATAACTGAACCGAAATGAACCGGACTAAAGGGGACCTAAACCTCAATAAACCAGCTGGGTTGGACCAGAATCACTTGGGTTGGACCAAATGCACTTGGGCTGGACTAGAACCGGATGGATGGAATTGACCAAGTGCACTTGGGCTGGACCTGAACATGATGGATGGGTTTGGAGACAACAACAACTCCACCACAGACTGCCAGCGACCGCAAATGACACAACCAACTCAATTGAAGATCACAAAACTCTGACATCGACAACGGCACACACCAAATCACCAGCGACCACAACAACACACCCAACAAGGTTTTCGGCAACATAATAGTACCCCAATCGATTTTCAACACTCGATTTGCTCATAACACCTTAAGTTCAATGGATGGACATACACAAACTGCGACATCGATGTTCAGCCATCACCCTCGACCTTATTAGTCCATGGTCATGGGTTGCACAGTATATGGAACCAACAATGAAAGAAAAAAGAAAAGAGAGAGGGAAAGAAAGAAAGTGGAAGGGAAGAATAAGAATCCGGCTCAAATTTTGGATCAATAATGCTCTAACACCATGTTAAGTTTAAAGGAATGGAGAGAATGAACACAATATGAGAGAGACAGAGAGGATGCTAACTTACCCTACCTCTAACTATCAATTGGTATTTGTAGTTATCTAATAAAGCACAAATGACTAGTATACCCTTAGAGAGGTATACTAATTACAACTATAATAATAATCATAATAATACTCTCAACAATGGTGATAATTACTTGTTGAGGTCGCACAAAGTAGTGGTCAGAGGCAGTGACTGAAGGCTCAAGAGGATTTGAAATTGATGTTACACATAGCAACAGAAATGGTGTGCCTCTTATCAGGGCTCAATTAGTATCATGTCCGAAGACAAGTTCGCATGTTTGAACACACATGCATCAGTGTAGTATTATACATACGTAGGCATTATGCTTTCTACAGTCTGTTCCACTAAAGTGATGCTGAATACAGGCCTTTCTTATAAGGGCTGAACTCTGCTTTTTTGCATCCCGTCTTTGTTTGCATGTAATGTAGAATTATACTGCTTCTGCTCTTATGTAATGCTTGAAATCATATTATAGGTTTGGCATGCACTCTTAGTGGTCAGAGCACTTGTGCTACCTCCTACAGAAGACACTGAAACATGGCTCAAGTTTGTTTCACTTTGCCGTAAAAGTGGCAGGATTAGTCAAGCTAGATCTACTTTAGTTAAACTTCTGCAGGTCAGTAGTGCATGTATACAGGAAAAAACAGAGATGCTAAATTTGGCAATATTATCTTAGTGAAGTACGTGATTAATATGATTTATTCTTTTTATTTTCAGTTTGACCCTGAAACAACTCCTGAAAATGTGCGGTATCATGGACCTCCACAAGTAATGCTAGCCTACTTAAAATACCAATGGTCACTTGGAGAGGACCATAGACGCAAGGAAGCCTTCAGTAGATTGCAGGTAGACAGACAGTAGGCCTTTTCCTTAGGTTTAAAATAACTCAATGAGCTACATATTTTACCGGCATCATATGTTGCTTACTCATATTTCCATGTGAATGTCCTATTTTTAATTTATAGGATCTAGCTATAGAGCTCTCAAGCGCACCAAATGTTCTGGCCGTTACACCAAGTGGCTTGGGTTCTTCCAATGTGCCACTCATTGCCCGTGTTTATCTGAAACTCGGGACTTGGCAGTGGGCACTTTGTCCTGGATTGGATGATGATTCTATACAAGGTAATCAGCCGAATGTTCTCTCTCTTCAGCCATGTGTGTGTGTGTTTGATGTGTCACCAGTCTTTCACTTTTGGTGTGTACACAGAAATCCATAGCGCATTCAGGAATGCCACCCATTGTGCGACAAAGTGGGCGACAGCGTGGCATGCTTGGGCACTCTTCAATACAGCAGTGATGTCTCATTATACTTTGAGAGGATTTCCTAGTATTGCCGCGCCGTTCGTTGTATCTGCAGTCGATGGATATTTTCACTCCATAGCTTGTGCAGCACATGCTAAGGGTGTGGATGATAGTTTACAGGTGAATCATTGCTTTGGCCTAGAAGCTTTATGCAATATGAAATTTATTTTGAACTGCCTTCTCCAACTCGTTATTATCTTTTTACATTATCATTTTGCTCCTACTTTTTTATTATTTCTACCAGCCCTCCTAAAAACTAGCCTTTCAGATCCTCAATTGATCCTTTTTCCCCCAGTGAACACTTTTTGTATCTGAAATTATTTCTCATGGACAACTTTTTTTGTAAACGAATAGTTTCCCGTCTCATGTTTTACGTGTTTGCTTGAAGTCTGTAAAAGAATTTTTCTGAAAAATAAAGTTCAACGAAACTCCTAACATGCATTGACAATATAAACATTTGTTCTCTGTATTAGCATACATGTACATGAATGCATATGCGTGTATATAACATGTGATTTTTGTAATTTTTTATACATGGACACATGTACATATCTACATAATTTTTATAGGAACAAACATGTCTTGGGTGCATCAAACTACATGTGTTTCTGTATTTATTTGTATATTCATATGTGTGTGCATACTTCCATATGTAGAAATTTATTATTCGGGCAAATAAGTGGGAGTTTGTATTCAAATTGGCAATTCAAGTTAAGGATCTGTGGTCTATCTTTCAAGAAAAATTAATATCCAAACATTTTTAATGGGAACACTTATTTTCTAATTTTTTTTTTGGATAAAAGAAGAATTTTATTATAGAATGGAAGGAGGAGAAAACAAATTACCATATGGAGGACAAAATATCTTCTAAAATAAAAGAGACACAAAAAACATATCAATGAAACATACACAATGAAAGCTAAGATAACACTGCCTTTCAATTCCGTTGGAGATAGAACAAAGGCAAACCTTGCTCCGGAAGCTTTGGACCAAAGTGAAGCCAACACTTATTTTCTATTTAACGAAGCTTCTAGTGTCCCTTTTGCGACGGGGTTTTTAGTAGTAAGAGTGTGATTTGAAGACTTGACCATCTATAAGGTCAAGAGTATAACCTTAAGACCTGGTTCGTACTCTTTTTGTTAGCATTCCTGTTGATGCCATACCTGTGAATTTTATCTCCTAGTATGATACAAATTATCTTAAAGAAAACTGTGGTTTTACTTGTATTGTACTTATTATATCATAGCATTCAACTAGTGCAAACTATATTGATCAATAATATTGTTTTATTGAGGTAGATAGGCTTTGAAGGATCATATATTGCTTCTCTGATAGTAAAAAATTGACTTTTCAATGATTTGATATTTTCATTTTCTGGTTATGACAAACTATCTGGTTTGTATTGAAAAGTCAATTTTGTTTGTATGTGAGAGCAAGAGCAACTTGTTCGACACTTCAATATGCAGCAAATTCTTCCGTCAAAACTTCTGATTATCTTAATTTCTCTTCCCCGCATTTTGTGGAGAACCAACTAGCTCTGGTTTCATGTCACATATCATCCCTAACCAGAACTCATGCGCTCATTCTACAACATCATTCAGTTCGGACCTTCACTTAGGTTTACGTAAGTGTCATTCTGGTCATAGATAGATCACCTAGGTTCAGGTTCGGGTTTGTTTAAATTTCGGGACAATTATAGTTATGTTCTACTTTTGGTTATAAAAATCATTTAGTCCTAATATATTTCTATTATGACAATAAAGTTCTATTTTTTATAATTTATTCGTGTAAAGTCCTAATTTCATTCTATGTTTTCTTTGCCCTTTAACTTTAAATCACAAAATGTCATTTAGATTTGGGTGACGACGTCTCACCAAATATCCAGTTAACAGATCAAATTATTCGATCCAATTTAGAAACTCTTAACCGAATTTGGTCCAAATATCCAACAGGATTCAGGATCGCTATCTACATTTGAATCCATTAAAAAATAGAATTTGATTGAAGAATATGATCCAATCCACATATTCAATTCAAGATAAAATTTATGAAATTACTTTTGAATTTTAAATGAATTTCAGCGAAGAGTAGTTTGATTTGACATTGTGTGTATATTTATACAAATGATTTTGATTGAATCATACCTGGATCGAATGTTGTTAGGTCTAATTTGAATCCGTTAAATAAGATATAATGAAGTTTGAACTGAAGTCAGAATTTGTGAATCATTCAAAATATAAATCCATATCTGACAAATTGGATTTAGATTCAAAACGAGGTGTATATGATCCATTGAAAGACTTGATGCAGTTAATCAGAATCTCAGGTATCCAAAGATTCATAAAAAAAAAATTGATTTTTATCTAGACTAAAATTGATTACCTAAAGCAAAAGGTAAAATTGGAACAAACATACTATTGATTTGGTTTAGAACTTCGTGGCAATATCTGTTCATGTCTGCTCCCGCTGTTGGTATAACATACAGATTTTCAAAAGTAGGACTCGAGTCTCATAATGTAAATATAGTAAGACTTATTTATTTTTCGTGTGGAAAAATGGGACTTAATGACAATTTTGCCTTAAATTTTGGGGCGTGCTATCTGGGAGCTTTTGAAGTTTTGTTGTTGAGCTTAGATCCTGCAGCTACAATGGTTACAAATGCTCAAGAATTCCAGATTTGAGCCATGCACAACTTACTGTACATGGTGGGAATGCTCAGGCTTATTAAAACCAAGTGTAGGCACGTGCCTAGGCACGAGCCTGGTGGATCACAGTCTGTGTGCATCATTTGGCCTGAGGTGCAGTGTCTTATTGAAGCCTTTTCTAGGCACATGAGGTGCACGCCTCGGGATTAAGCCCGGGCACATGTCATGTGGGCTTTTTTCATTCTTCCTTTGTGATCTGATCTGGCATTGATGTCACTATACACCAAAAAAAGATCTTGGCCATTGGTACCTGACTCTACCCATTGGCTGATCGTCAATTGACAGTATGGATGAATCAACTGAAGGAGAGAAGGAATAGTCCATAAGCTCTCTCTCTCTCTCTCTCTCTCTCTCTCTCTCTCTAAGCCAGGTGGATCAGAGCAATTGGGTGAGTCTTCTCCCTTCCTCTCCTTCCTACAAACTAAGTTGAGTTAACTAATCATTGTTTTCCTCTTCTTCTCCCTCTTTGTTCTTTTTGGGTGGCAAACGGAGTTCTGGTCAACTGATTTCTTCTCCTCCCCTCTTTTTTTCCTCTCATCTTCAGACCACTTATTCATCTTTATCTTCTTCAAACCACCTCTTTCTGATTTTTATTTATTCGTCTCTCTCGTTCTTCTTCATATTTTTACAAATTGGAGTTATTGAACTTTTTTTTTTTTGGCATTCTGATTTTTTGGATTATTCTCTTTCTGATTTACCAACCAGACTTTGGACCTGGTTGTCTATTCTGTTTTTGTTTTTATTTTTTGGTTTCGTGGTCTTCTTTTATTTTTGGCATCTCTTGTTTTCTTAATCAGTTTACTCATTTATACTCTTTGCTTGCCTAATAGAGCTTTTTGTATTTGCTTAATTTATTGATTGTTTTTTTAATTGCATAATTGTGTGATTATCTAATTTTTTTTATTGGGTAAGTTGATTGAAGCCTTGCTGCTTGGACTTTTTAACTGCTCGTGATTGTTGGTAGTTGTGTGATTTGTTGGAGTCTTCTTGTCTTGGACTGTTTAGTTGTATAATTCACAATTTAATTGCTTGTGATTGTTGGTAATTGAGTAATTTGCTTGGAGTCTTACTGCCTTGGACCGTTTAATGTTGTAATTTTCTTGGAAACTTGCTGCCTGGGATTGTTTACTTATGTAATTTGCTTCGAGCCTTGCTGCCTTGGATTGTTTACTTACGTAATTTGCTTGGAGTGTTTTTCTTTTTAGTATCCTTTACCTTTTTTGGCTGTGACATCAGATGTGAATTATTATGACTTTTGTGTTTTCTACATCATTGGCCTCGCTTTGATGCAGCCCGTGCCATGCCTCGAGCCTAGGCCCCCATAGTTCTTAGGGCTTCGTGTCTTTCACCTTAAGTAGCGCTTGGTATGCTTAGGGTGTATTAATACTAGTTTAGATTCTGGATTATAGCAAGTGTACATTAAAATCATGGGTATTAATATGGACACCCAGCTGGCTGGGCTTGACAGCCACCAACATTGTTTTGGTTCGAAAGTTTGTTACTTTGTGATTGGTAAGAGCACTATTTACTTATCCCTAGTGCTCATCCACAAGCATGTCGAGGCCAGGATCTATTCAGCTAACGGTTACCCATAATTTTATTTGATTATATGAGGAGTTGCTTGTGTTTTATTTCTAAATGTTGAAGAAGACAGTACTACCTTTATGGCAAATTTTTGAAATGGAGCTGAATCTTTAGGGGAACCAGAGAATGGTAGCTGGGGACATGGGTAACTTTTTAATTTACTTACACAGCCATTGCCATTAATAGAGAACAATGGTGAAACAAGATTCATGTAACCGACCCCAGAAATGTTGGGTCCAGGCTATGTTGAGTTGAGTTGAGTAACCCTCGACAATTATTTCCTCTCTTATCTGTCATAACTGGCCACTTCCATGCTTGAAGGACAGTACTGATCCTTGGAATATAGATGAGCTATTCTCACTCTTATTTTTAGGACAAACACAATACACCAAGACCCTGTACGAATTACTATCCCCGAAGGAATGAGGGTAGTAGAAATCATTTGTATTAATTGATTTAGTCATCAACAAGTATATTTGGGACCTCTACTCATGCTCCCAGTGCCAATAAAAGAAATTACTGCCTGGGGGAATGTTATATTGGCGTAATTGTTATATATATCTGATTGATGCATAAGGGATTTTGATTTTGATGTTAATTGATGTTGGCAACCCTCAGTTTCTCTATGTGAAAGCGCAGGAATATGTACGCAAGTAGATAATTTTAGATCCATGTCGACGTGACATATCCACATTTCACATTTTTCTGGTCTAATATTCCAAGAATTTGTTGCATGTTGACATAGGAGATCAATCACTCCTGCATGACATCGACCATGTGTTGGTCATCAGGTGCATTAGGTGGTTGTAACCTTCCTATATTCTGATTGACCTTTACTCTGTTTCATAATTTGTTTTGCGCTTCTGGTTTTCAGGATATACTTCGTCTTCTCACTTTGTGGTTCAACCATGGAACTTCCACAGAAGTACAAATGGCACTACAGAAAGGATTTGCACATGTTAATATCAACACATGGTTGGTTGTTTTGCCTCAAATAATTGCCAGGATACATTCAAATAACCAAGCTGTTAGAGAACTTATACAATCACTTTTGGTGCGAATTGGACAGAGTCATCCTCAGGTTGGCTTTCGATTTGTTCATTCTGTATCAAAATGAAATTTTGTACGACGATTGATTTCATTGATTTACATATAATTTTTTTTATGATGATGTTTTATGCCCTTGAGCTTTAAAAAAGTGTTTATGTCACAAAACAATGGAAGTCAACCAAAATAGAAATGCAAAGCTAGATATTGGGTATGATGCTTGATTATGTGAAAAGACAGCAATTATCTAAATTCGATAGTGGTTGAAGCTTAATGTAATTTAATGGCTTAAACCATTCAATTTGTAGTAAGATGGAACCAAAAGTGCCACGTGGACCGCTATTAACCCTCTGCAGTATATGTATGCTGTTGCTGTGCCATTCCAATTCTTTTTATCCAGTTGTCATTTTAATTCTGTAACCTACCTTCTGGCTAGTATCCCAAGACTCCTAACCTTGTAGAAGTACCCCAACAGTGTCTCATGGAAGTGCCTGCCTCTTACTCCGATTTTCTTGTCTTAATGGGTCCATCTGTATTTTAAATGGCAAAAATAAATTGAGTCGTAAAATAAGAACGATTGCAGATGATATAATTAGTGTGATGAGGTGCTTCTTGTTAAAAGATAACTTAGTATTACGGATATTGAATGTCTTAACGAGAAGTCTACAAAATGTCAAAAACTCGAGTTATATTGACTGTTGCACAGCCTGAATCTGCACAGCATTGGACATGTATCTAAGTGTATTTGTGAGGTTTATGAATATGCAATATTAGTATGACATTATGGGTCTTACAAAGCCCTTGCTGCTTGCTAGTCAAGATAATGTAATAGTGTTAAATCATCATTCACTCTAAAAGCTTAAGCTAGGGTGGAANGATCCATGTCGACGTGACATATCCACATTTCACATTTTTCTGGTCTAATATTCCAAGAATTTGTTGCATGTTGACATAGGAGATCAATCACTCCTGCATGACATCGACCATGTGTTGGTCATCAGGTGCATTAGGTGGTTGTAACCTTCCTATATTCTGATTGACCTTTACTCTGTTTCATAATTTGTTTTGCGCTTCTGGTTTTCAGGATATACTTCGTCTTCTCACTTTGTGGTTCAACCATGGAACTTCCACAGAAGTACAAATGGCACTACAGAAAGGATTTGCACATGTTAATATCAACACATGGTTGGTTGTTTTGCCTCAAATAATTGCCAGGATACATTCAAATAACCAAGCTGTTAGAGAACTTATACAATCACTTTTGGTGCGAATTGGACAGAGTCATCCTCAGGTTGGCTTTCGATTTGTTCATTCTGTATCAAAATGAAATTTTGTACGACGATTGATTTCATTGATTTACATATAATTTTTTTTATGATGATGTTTTATGCCCTTGAGCTTTAAAAAAGTGTTTATGTCACAAAACAATGGAAGTCAACCAAAATAGAAATGCAAAGCTAGATATTGGGTATGATGCTTGATTATGTGAAAAGACAGCAATTATCTAAATTCGATAGTGGTTGAAGCTTAATGTAATTTAATGGCTTAAACCATTCAATTTGTAGTAAGATGGAACCAAAAGTGCCACGTGGACCGCTATTAACCCTCTGCAGTATATGTATGCTGTTGCTGTGCCATTCCAATTCTTTTTATCCAGTTGTCATTTTAATTCTGTAACCTACCTTCTGGCTAGTATCCCAAGACTCCTAACCTTGTAGAAGTACCCCAACAGTGTCTCATGGAAGTGCCTGCCTCTTACTCCGATTTTCTTGTCTTAATGGGTCCATCTGTATTTTAAATGGCAAAAATAAATTGAGTCGTAAAATAAGAACGATTGCAGATGATATAATTAGTGTGATGAGGTGCTTCTTGTTAAAAGATAACTTAGTATTACGGATATTGAATGTCTTAACGAGAAGTCTACAAAATGTCAAAAACTCGAGTTATATTGACTGTTGCACAGCCTGAATCTGCACAGCATTGGACATGTATCTAAGTGTATTTGTGAGGTTTATGAATATGCAATATTAGTATGACATTATGGGTCTTACAAAGCCCTTGCTGCTTGCTAGTCAAGATAATGTAATAGTGTTAAATCATCATTCACTCTAAAAGCTTAAGCTAGGGTGGAACTTAAGTATATATACTTTAACCCCCCCCCCCCCCGGGGGCGGTCAAACACAGCCTTAATTTCGAGCCTAGCACGTCGATATCATCAATTTATTAGGGTGGCGGTGAGATTTGAATCGGCTGAAATTTCAGTATTTATAAAGCCATGGAATTTGTGCTTTTTAATACTTGCTGAGTCATAAAGCCCTAACTAACTTCCATTTTCTCATTATCTTACCTAGGGTCTCTTTTCTGCCTAAAGCCTTTGAAAGCTTTGCTTTGCAAGACTTGTCGGTCATAAAGCCCTGACTAATTCGTTTTTGGACTATCTTACCTGGGCTCACTTTTCTGCCTGCAGTTATTCATCCTTTTTTAGTAATTTTTAAAAAATGTTCACTGCTGTGTAGCCGCCCTGTTGCTTATTATTTTGTTTCTGTGGACTCTGTTCAATAAAGCCTTTTGGCATTTACATGGTTTGCATTAATTTACTTTACTCCACAGGCTCTTATGTATCCCCTTCTTGTGGCGTGTAAATCGATAAGCAATCTACGCAAAGCTGCAGCTCAAGAAGTTGTTGACAAAGTTCGGCAGCATAGCGGTGTACTAGTGGATCAGGTGAATTGTAATGATTGTTGTGATGATGATTTGGTGGTTTTTGCAGTATTAAACTAATCTCTGGTTCTGCTTGTGAAGGCACAACTCGTGTCAAAGGAGTTGATAAGGGTTGCAATACTTTGGCATGAAATGTGGCATGAGGCTTTGGAAGAAGCTAGTCGCTTATATTTTGGTGAACATAACATTGAGGCAATGCTAAAGGTGCTGGAGCCATTGCATGAAATGCTCGAGGAAGGGGCAATGAAGAACAACACTACTATCAAAGAGAAAGCTTTCATTCAAGTAATTCTGCGAGTGACAGTTTGTCTCAATGTTTCTCCGTGATTAAAATTTAAAATACTAAACATAGATCCTTTCATTATAGTTGTTGTGAAGTTTAGTTTGACTTCCCATATTTAAACACAACTTTAGGCTCGTTGGGGCTAGATATATGGCTCGACTTGCTGTCATGCCTTTCTGTTTTTTATCACTTTTTCAGACACCAAGTTACAAATTTAAGATCTTTAATAACTCCTGAACCCCATCTTGCCTCAAGGTCTTTGGGAGTGGTTGTTATATTCTACTTGAAATGAGCGCGCCTTGGAAAAAACAAAATCTTCAGACCCTTGAATTTGAGATTCTGTATCAGTTATGACATAAAATCATTGCACTTCCCTGTGAATTTCAGGCATATCACCATGAGTTATTGGAGGCATATGAATGCTGCATGAAATATAAGAGAACTGGGAAAGATGCTGAACTCACTCAGGTACAATTAAATCTTTCTTCTGCCAGAAAAAAAATCATGCAGTCCTCTTATGTTGAACCGGCCATTTTGCATCCCTAAGATTTTGGCTTTTCTTTTCTCACTTTTTTCAACTTATGTACTGCAATAGTCATCATAAATTTATTACTGTAGACAGTCATTATACTTGATGAGTTGATGATGTGTTTGTAGGTATAGTCTATAGTGCCCAAATATTGCTCAAGTATCTTGTTAGAGATTTAGGGCGTGTTTGGTTTGCGTCTCAAAAAACAGTATCTGAAAACAGTTTTTGAAGACTGATTTTTGAAAATTGTTTTTAGTGTTTTTTGTGTTACAGAACTTGTTTGGTTATATAATTCTAAAAACTGTTTTGCAAAATAAAAAGCAAAAAACATGTTTGGACAGTAAGACAGAAAATAATGAAAACAGAGATGATGTTTGGATTGAATGTTTTACTGGCAGAACATTATATTACAAATTATAACACAATACAGACCATTGTTCATACATACAAGCTCCACATTATATTACAATGAGAGAGCTAATCACTTCACCATACTAATCACTTCACCATACTAATCACAATTAAAAACAATACGACAAAACACAAAATGACATTACACCCACAATAAATGCATTTCTATAGTCTCTGCCAAATGGACACCTACAAAAATAACGACCATCATTTCTCACTGTATGAGCTTTGAAAACCCTCATGTGGCCAGCACCACATGCACATAAAGGACCTGTAGCATTATTCATGTGCTCTGCAATTAATTAAAAAAAAAAATTCAAATACCGTTAACATGTATTCCAATCAACAAATTACATAAATGAAACACAACTCATATAATTACATACATGTACACATAAATATTTTTTTTTTTTTAAAATAAAATTTTTATTCCATGAATCAATGAATTACAAGAATCAAATCAATTCAAACAAATGTAGATACAAGAGTTTGACTTTAAACCTTCAAAAGGACTAAAGTCATTTATCTACTATCACAAACCAGCTGCACATTCTTCAAAACAAAGCAGAGAAAGCTCCATGCTCTGGTCCCAGATCACAGGCTGCCTAATCTTTGATATCCTGTATTGTTCCTGCTATAAACTTCCTTCCAGTTGCTGGCAGTACTCCACTTCCTCATCCTTGCACTTGGCAGCATGCTCTCTAACCATCTGCTGTAGATCATGCCTGCTGACTGCTAGCATTCTGCATAATCAGCCACATGCTTTCTGATTACTGACCACAATCAGCCTAATCCTTGCAATAGGCAACCTAGGACTGGTCCTGGAGTAAGAGCACTCATCCAGCATCTGGCAGTGCTCTACTGACAGAAAAATCAGTAGAACTTCCGGTCTGAACAGTAAATGAGGCTAAGAAATCAGCAATACCATTTGCCTCTCTATAAACATGTTTTAGTTGGAATCTCAACCTCCCTAACATCTGCCAAATCTGCTCCATAATACCCTTTAATCTCCAAGGCACCTCTACCTTCTTTAACACCATTTGAACCAAGACTAAATAGTCAGATTCAATCAAAAGCTGATGCATTCCCAAATCATATTCCAGAATCAATTTCAGACCATCAAGCAAGGCCCTACGAATCAATCACTTCCCAAACTAGTAACAAATCCAAAGGAACACACGTCAGAATCCAACTTTTAGAGTAAAAAAATACAGTGAGTATGTAAGTATGATTGAACCGATCATATCTCAAGCTAATGAACACAAGCTTAAATTCAGGACCCAACTATTGCAGAATCAGCATATCCACACACATGCATAATTCAAAGTCACCCAACACACATGGAATTGGCTAATAAGCACGATGCACTTAAGAATTTGTCAGAGAAGATGGTTCTTTTCAGTTCATCAATCCTAACTCCTGAAAATGAAGAGACTATGGCAATGTCAAGTTGAAAGGTGATTCCTTGCTAAGTCTAGTCTGAATAGCGATTCTAACCTAAAACCCAAAATCTTTGGAAAGAATCTCAAATAGCACCTATAAATTGGTAGGATCGTATTAGAAGGCCAGCATGCCATATGTAATGGATAAAGATTCAGAGGTTTCTTAGGAATCGTTTCTCTTTTCCTACTATTCATCTGTTAAAAGAGCATAAATCAAATTTTTTCTGGTGTTTACGAAACTTTCCGTTAGTTTCGCAAATATCTAACAAAAACAAAACATTCAACATCAATGAAATCGAATAAGCTGTGACTTGAATAACATTAGTCTTCTTACAGACATATAAAGTGAACTGTGACTTGAATAAGCTGAATAAAAATGAAATCGAATCAAACTAAAAAACTCAACCAAGCACCATTGCAGTCACCGAAAATAGCTGAGTCACCGGAAATAATTTCTAGGCAAAAAAACCCAATCAAGCACCATAGCAGTCACCGAAAATAGCCGAGTCACCAGAAATTATTTCAAGGCAAAAAGTCTCAATCTAGCACCATAGCAGAGTTACCGAAAATAGCTGAGTCACTGGAAATTATTTTAAGGCAAACAAAAATAATAAAATCAGATCTAGGAGAACTGAGTCACCAGAACATCATGATTGGTTCGCCGGAGTTGTTAGACAACAGATACGTTATAGATCGAAATGTAAAAAGGAAAAATGCAAACAAATCTAAAAAACACAAAACCTATTAAAAAATCAAGGCAAAAAAAAACATAAAAAATAACAGACATATGGGTGGGTTACCAATCGCCGGAGAAGCCAGCCTGTGATTCGCCGGTGATTTGTTGGATGTAAGCTCTGTGCTTCGCCAGAGCTTAAGTGAAGAAGAGGGCTGAGCAAGCCAAATGACGGGAGAGGCTAAAAAAAACAAAAACATTTTATACTTGGTCCATTAATGAACAGTGATCTTATCTCCGTGTTTTCTAAATTTTCAAGAATCTTCTCAGAAAATAAGCCAGCCTGGCTTGTTTTCTATTTTTGTGTTCCAAATCTCATTTCCAATTATGACATCCCTTCTCTCCCACTTCACACCTCGTAATGCACCGTTCTTATAGAGAGAAAAGCGCTTTCACATCTTTTTTTTTTAAATTTTGAGAACAAAAATGCTAAACAAATAGATTTTGAGTGTTTATGAAATTTTGAGAACAAAAAACTGTTTTAGAGATGATAACCAAACATGCCCTTACTTTTCTATTTTCACTTTTCGATTATGTCGCTTTCGTAATATGTTCTACTTTCCTAATATTGTAACTGTGTACAGACTACAATATCAATCTAATATAAACAGGTTATAGGGTGTGGTCAACATACATCCTGCACATTATTTGCTCAATTTCTTTCTTCTTCTTTCTCCTAAACCAAAACCATAATACTTAATTATTTGAGTTTTAGCTCTTCTCTTCACCGTAAGAGCAAATTGCACCCAATCTAAAAATGTGTTCATATTACTACAAAAGCTGCTCAATAACTTGGCACAACCCTTTTATAAGACTCTAGGGTTGCCCTAGGAAAGGTTCAGTTAGCCCTTTTATTTGAAACTATGGGCTATAAATCTGTCCAGTAGAAATAAGAGGCAGAAATAATCAAACTACTCTTAAAAGGTCACATGGCTCACTTAAAACTAACATAACGACCAAAATACCCTTAATTTTAACTTGTGTCTATCTAACTAAACGAAACAAATGTCAAACACAAATAAAGAACTCAAAAGACAAACAGCTTGACTAGATGATCACAGGCTGCTGCTACTCTTAAAATGTCTAATGCTCTAGGCTTGTCTTCTTAGGATGTTCAAGGGCTTGTAAAAAGGCTTCTCAATTGTGCTTCCCTTCCATTAATTTAATCTACTGGCTAGGTGGATGCCTAGGGTTTGTGAGCCCTTCCTCCTTTTGTTTATCCTTAGTTCGTGTTCCATTCTTTGTGTTGTCTAGATGATCACAGGCTGCTGCTACCCTTAAAATGTCTAAGGCTCTAGGCCTGTCTTCTTAGGATGTTCAAGGGCTTGTAAAAGGGCTTCGCAATTGTGCTTCCCTTCCATTAACTTAATCTACTGTCTAGGTGGATGCCTAGGATTTGTGAGCCCTTCCTCCTTTTGTTTACTTCGTTTACCCTTAGTTCATGTTCCATTCTTTGTGTTGTCTTTCTTCCACTTTGTGGCAGCTAGGTAGCCTAAGTTACTACTGCATGCATTTCAATGCTTCTAATTTGTGTAAAACAAATTGCTGAATTGGAAAAACTAATTTGTGTAAAACATTCTTTGTGCTGAATCACATATACTAGGAAATTCTTTTTTTATTTTTCTATTGATATTGGTGCATGCATGTTAGGACTTGAAATGTTTTCATCCATTGCACCTCAGATGGTTATGTTGGCTGCTTGAGAAGACTTGATTTATAATCTTTTCTTATAAAGATCATTTTATCCAAGCCAATGAAATCTCTCTGTTTTTAATTTTGTGTATTATGTAATTGCGAACAGATTTCTCCATTAATTTGTTGTATGTTTAGATTTACGTTCATTGCCAGGGCTCCATTTACACGACTAGGGATTTTGCCTGTTCAATTTTGCCTCTTTGTTGTCTTTATCTTGGAGGTAATGAGTTGAAGGTATCTCTTGACCAGGCTTGGGATCTCTATTATCATGTTTTCAGACGGATAGATAAGCAGCTTCAAACTCTTACTACTCTGGACCTGCAGGCAAGAAGGAAGTATAGCTTTAAGTTTGAATTCACACTTGTGTCTGTGACACTAATTTGGTTTTTTGCTTGTAAGACCAGTCTGTTTCCCCAGAATTGTTGGAGTGCTGCAATTTGGAGCTTGCTGTTCCTGGAACCTACCGAGCTGGTAAACGTTGTAATTGTGTGAAAATAATATGTAGGGGAGTTGGATTTGAGCTTTCTGTCAATTGATGTATTTACATATTTCACCGATTTGCCATATTCCAGAGTCACCAGTGGTGACAATTGCATCATTTGCACCCCAGCTCATCGTCATTACATCCAAGCAGCGACCTCGGAAACTAACAATTCGAGGAAGTGATGGAGAAGATCATGCTTTCTTGCTGAAAGGACATGAGGATTTACGTCAAGATGAGCGTGTCATGCAGGTTCTCACTTATTTCTTATAGTTTGTCCCTCTTGTAGCAAGACCTTCTGCTTTTAGACATACATTGTTTTTGCTGTCTCAACTATAATTTCTGTTGACCTTTCTAATAACTTTGTCGAGAATATCTAAAATTTCTTTTTTGCGGATTTGCCAGCTTTTCGGCCTGGTGAATACTCTCCTGAGGAATTCTAGAAAAACTTCAGAAAAAGATCTATCTATCCAACGATATTCTGTCATTCCCTTATCTCCAAACAGTGGGTTAATAGGATGGGTTCCAAATTGTGACACCCTGCACCNCCAATGAAATCTCTCTGTTTTTAATTTTGTGTATTATGTAATTGCGAACAGATTTCTCCATTAATTTGTTGTATGTTTAGATTTACGTTCATTGCCAGGGCTCCATTTACACGACTAGGGATTTTGCCTGTTCAATTTTGCCTCTTTGTTGTCTTTATCTTGGAGGTAATGAGTTGAAGGTATCTCTTGACCAGGCTTGGGATCTCTATTATCATGTTTTCAGACGGATAGATAAGCAGCTTCAAACTCTTACTACTCTGGACCTGCAGGCAAGAAGGAAGTATAGCTTTAAGTTTGAATTCACACTTGTGTCTGTGACACTAATTTGGTTTTTTGCTTGTAAGACCAGTCTGTTTCCCCAGAATTGTTGGAGTGCTGCAATTTGGAGCTTGCTGTTCCTGGAACCTACCGAGCTGGTAAACGTTGTAATTGTGTGAAAATAATATGTAGGGGAGTTGGATTTGAGCTTTCTGTCAATTGATGTATTTACATATTTCACCGATTTGCCATATTCCAGAGTCACCAGTGGTGACAATTGCATCATTTGCACCCCAGCTCATCGTCATTACATCCAAGCAGCGACCTCGGAAACTAACAATTCGAGGAAGTGATGGAGAAGATCATGCTTTCTTGCTGAAAGGACATGAGGATTTACGTCAAGATGAGCGTGTCATGCAGGTTCTCACTTATTTCTTATAGTTTGTCCCTCTTGTAGCAAGACCTTCTGCTTTTAGACATACATTGTTTTTGCTGTCTCAACTATAATTTCTGTTGACCTTTCTAATAACTTTGTCGAGAATATCTAAAATTTCTTTTTTGCGGATTTGCCAGCTTTTCGGCCTGGTGAATACTCTCCTGAGGAATTCTAGAAAAACTTCAGAAAAAGATCTATCTATCCAACGATATTCTGTCATTCCCTTATCTCCAAACAGTGGGTTAATAGGATGGGTTCCAAATTGTGACACCCTGCACCATCTCATTCGAGAGTACAGGGATGCCAGAAAGGTTTGCTCAAGTTTATTGGATGCCCCCCCCCCCACTCCCCCCCCCCCGGGGTCTCTCATTTCATCTGATTTTTAAACATGCTTCTGTTCTCTAGATCACCCTAAATCAAGAGCATAAATTGATGCTTAGTTTTGCTCCCGATTATGATCATGTGCCACTTATAGCTAAAGTGGAGGTATTTGAGTATGCTCTGCAAAATACTGAAGGAAATGACTTGGCAAGGGTATGCTGTCTTTGAGAACTCTGATATATTTTCTTTATGTTACCCTCTCTCTCTCTAGTTTTTTTGTTTTAGGTTTCTTATTTGTTATTCTAAGGTGTTTGGACTGGCTCTTAACAGGTCCTTTGGTTAAAAAGTCGCACTTCCGAGGTCTGGTTGTACAGGAGAACAAATTATACTAGAAGTTTGGCTGTCATGAGCATGGTATGCATTTTTTTTTTCTTGTATGCTATTCGATCTTTCACTTACAAGCCCAGTTGGGTCCACTTTGTACGAGGCCTAAAATTCAGCTCATTTTTTTTTATCCGGACTCTCAAGCATTTAGGAATTTTGACCGGGTGATTGAATAACATAAAACAAGATGCCACACTAACACTTACTATCTACGATGCACGGATACTAACACAGGTGTCATATCCGATACGATGTTGATACAGAAATACGACAAAATCTCAAAATATAGAACACTGTTACGGATAGGATAGGATATGGCTAATTAAAAAATTTTATATTTGGACAAATGAGGTAATATTAAATTTGATTAGTGGGTTAATATGTTATGGATAGTGGGCTAAACTAAATTGGGTAATGGATGACAACTAATAAGGTGTTATTTGTAATTTAGCAACTAGGGGGGGAAAAACTTAAAAGCTAGGGCTGAATAGGGGGGGAAAAACAGACGTTGCTTTTTAGCAACTAAGGCAGGCCGTAGCTGCTGGAGCAAAGCTCGCACGTTGTCGTTGGTCTAAGAAGAGAGATCTGATCTGAGAGAGAGATATGTGGACACACGCAGTCAAAGATGAGGAGATCTGTGGTTGTGACATCTCAGGTCTGTATTGTCTTCTTTCCCCCCTCTTTTTTTTTAATTTCAATATAGATGCATGGCTGTGGCCATATCCTAGCTGTATCACCCCCGTATCTGAGTCATATACGTTCATAAAAAATGTTTATTCGCTGTTCAGGACACTTGTAAAAGTGTTAGACACGTGTTTGGCCATGTCCCACGCATATCCATGTCGAACACGTGTTTGACACCGTCACATCAACCCCCGTGAAGTATTCATGCTTCCTAGGTTACTATTCTAGCCTTTTTGGTTACATGACCACTACCTTGTAACTTAGGAAACACAAATACAAATGCGGGTACGATACAATACGGATACGGCGATATGACAAAAACAAAATAAAGATACGAGTTCTGTCAAAATACATTTGTAACAAAATTTATTATATATTTTACCATTATTGAACAATTTAAAAATTACAATTTTTAGCAATTCTTTAACAATTAGTAAAAAAAAATTAGCAATTTTTACCTTAAAAAATGTGTAATATCGTCTTATTATAAATATTTATAAAGTGAACTTAATCAATTAAAATTAGGACTATCATTTAACTAGTTAGTTTGCTTACTAGTGTTTTTTCAAAGGTTATTATATAACTAACTCATTTTTGTATGCTCTTTTGTCAGAGGTTATAGCAGATAATACTTTAAAAAATACTCATGTTTTCAAAGTCAAATCAAATTTTGTTGATGTTTTGTATTATACTTAAACTCGAAAGAAAATTTTATAGATTAAAATTAAAAATTGTATATTTTGCTCCATATGTAAAAGAAGTATCCGCGAAATGTTCACATATTTTATTAATTATATAGGATATGTATGATGCATATTTGATATGTATCTTCGAGTGTACGATAAGTATTGCATATGATATGGTATTCAATATGAGTACGTTAGCCTTGACGAAGTATCCGTACTTCATAACTCGTAACATGTTTAGGCCTAGTATGTGCAAAAGTATTAGTGGGGGACAATTTGATTTGTAATTTTTTGACTTAGTTATCTGATAATACTCCAGTGGATGTGTCTATGACAAGGGATCACAAGTGTGTTTCGGTATGTAGTTTCAATTAGCTCGGAAACATAAATGTTATGGAAACTTTTTGAAAACACAATAAAAACGGAGAAAAAAATTGAAAACATGTGAATACAAATGGAAATATAAATCAAAATATCTTTATGTATATAGATAAGCTTAAAAATTGATTAATTGAGCATGTTTATTGTTTTAACATCCATTTACACTAGACAACATCAAGTTGGAGAAGGAAAAAAAGGTTAATATACAATGGAAGCCATTTCAGCTAATGTCAAACATTTCATTTTTTTATCAAATACACACACTTAATAGGAAATTAAGGTCTCATAAAAGAAATGAAGTGCTCATGAGTATCATATGAATGTATTCATAGTACAAAACTATATCCATTCCATTGGAGAAATAATCAAGAAATTTGAAATATTATTTGTGGAACGTGCCGAAAGATTGATCGAAACAATACAAAACACGTCAGAACATAATGAAACACATACTGAAACGCCTTGAAACATAGAATTTGCAATATTCAATTGCTGATTTATTTCAGTGTCCATTGAAACGGAAACGTTTTGAAACGAAATTTAGTTCCCAGTATGTGATATGTGTCGTCTGACGAGGCCCTGTCTCAGCAGATTGAGATATCATGGCCCATGTGATTTTTTTTTCTTCCAGTCTTGATATTATGAAACAAAAATGAAGTTGTAACTGTTATCCTCTGTAGGACCCATTTCAATATGGTTTCCAGTTTTTTTTTTGAGCTAAAAAAAAAAATTTTACCAATTCATTATGAAGAAATTTACCAGTTCTACTCAGGCATTACCCCTTTTTGAGAAGTCATCAATAAGTATACCTGAAAATACTCTCAAAGTGAGGCTGGTACCAGTTGAGTTGGTGTTAAATGCATAACATGCAGTTTGATTTAAGTTGATCATGTTCATGTTTTGCTTTTCACATCTCAAATTTAGGGCTATTGCAAGACCCTTGCATCTAGGCTTTTACAATAGGTTTGATCTGTAAAGTTTTATCAATTCTATTTGTTGTGGAGTGGTGTTTTCAGATAAGTTACACCTGTTTCAGGTTGGTTACCTGCTTGGCTTGGGTGATCGACACCCAAGTAACCTTATGCTCATTCGTTACAGGTACTTAATGATTACTGACTAGAAGGGAAGAGGTCCACTTAATTTTGGTAAAGGTTTGGAATATTTTCACTAGTTGCATTGTTTTTCAGTGGGAAGATACTGCACATTGATTTTGGAGATTGTTTTGAAGCTTCAATGAACCGTGAGAAGTTCCCCGAAAAGGTATGCTGTCACACTATTGAAACTGCTGTGCAAAATCCTCTTATCTGTCATGTGATCATCATAAAACCAATTCATCTCTAGGTCCTCTTACATTAACATCATGATGTAGGTTCCTTTCCGCCTGACTAGAATGCTTCTTAAAGCTATGGAAGTCAGTGGTATTGAGGGCAACTTCCGCTCGACGTGTGAAAATGTGATGCAAGTTCTCCGCACAAATAAAGATAGTGTCATGGCTATGATGGAGGTATACTTTGAAATTGCTCTGTTTTCTGTTTAATTCAAGTAGCTGTATCAATGGGGCGAGTAGAACTCAGAGCATCTAGAAAGTAGATGTTTTGGACTATCTTCTCAATATCCTGTTTTTATTGAGCTTAGCTGTGACCAAATGAAATGGATGTTGTAGAATAGAAGTTAGGGACAAGAAATTTCTAATGTACAGAGGTCTTTCCTTGGTTTCCTTTTTGGCTTTTTCTGATTTGTTTTTTTTTTAACCTCCCTTTTTTGTTGGTTTTGGTAAGAGGAAGGAATCATAAGAATTAGTTGTTAACCATCATGTGGTGACTTTTTTTGTACAAGAGAACTTATTTTTGGTTCCACCCGTTTTTAGGCCTTTGTTCATGATCCTCTCATAAATTGGCGTCTTTTCAACTTCAATGAAGTCCCTCAAATGCCAAACTTTGCAAGCACTAATGTCCCATCTGTTGTGAATGGTGAAGAATCTGCTCCAAATAGAGAGCTGCTTCATCCGCAAAGGGGTGCTCGTGAAAGGGAAATTCTCCAGGTATTGCGAGTTCCTGTATGTCAGAAATGACTCCATGTGTGCTGGTGTATCATATTTAAAATTTCAATTGGTGGTTGTAGGCTGTCAATCAACTTGGTGATGCCAATGAGGTCTTGAACGAGCGTGCTGTTCAGGTTATGGGTCGAATGAGTCATAAACTTACAGGGCGTGATTTTTCTACTGGTTCTGCTGTATCAAACAGTTCTATCCAACATGCACTTGACCACAGTACCTTAATTTCTGGAGATATTCGTGAAGTTGATCATGGCTTATCCGTTAAACTACAAGTTCAAAAGCTGATTCTGCAAGCTACGTCACGTGAAAATTTATGCCAAAATTATGTCGGGTATGATTTCAATATAATTTTTTGCCTTTTCTCTTGGTATCTATGCATCTTTAAAGTTTTATTTTGCATAATCTATAGTTCATATTTATGGAGTAGTAACGACACATTACGGACATAGATATTACCCCTTTTGGGTTTTATTATCTTGCATAGTTGTAAAATTAACTCTGGAATGTTACAAACAAATACACTTGAATGAGGCAAAATAAAAGGAAGAAAGTTGTGTCTTTTATGTAAAAACTGAACCTCTGGGCATACATCGTCCCATTTTTGAAGAGTTTGTTAATTGGAGTACTGAAACTACTATTTCGACAGTCCTAGCCCTGTTGCTCAAAGAGCTTGCCTCAATTTACAAGGAAAATAGTTGATTATGAATTTGTTTTCCTTTAGTTTTTCATATTAAACAGATGTGTTGAAGGTGTAACTATGTGCACTGAAGATGAAGTATTTAGTTGTCAAGCATAACAATATCTTACTTCGAGAGCTAACAAGCTGGTAATGGTGGTACTTGAAAAAGTTTTTAGTAGTCAACCAACCTTAGCATTTTCTATTGGGAAAAAGCTGTGTCTTGCTGCGGCGCTTTTGTTATACTTGTCTTCTGTATCTATAGCTGAAAACATCTTGTCCAATGACTTAGGAATGTTTACTTTGTCTCCCCTCCCTCCGTAGGAGATAATGTTGACCTAAAGGCATCCCTTATTTCACCCTTGACTATTCATGTGGTATGTTACTTTGAGGTAGCAGAATATAAAAGTGTAATCGGTACACAAGGCTCCTGCCATTGCGGGGTCTGGGAAGAGTTAGATATATGCAGTTTTATCCCTGCAAGTAGAGAGGCTGTTTTCGTGACTCGAACCTGTGATCTTCAGGTCACAATGGAGCAACCTTACCATTGCTTCAGGGCCAGCCCTCAAGTAGAAGAATATACACAAATGAATTTCACTGAAGGCATCCACATACATTTGTGTTCCAATTCTTGGTCTGCCATATTCGTGGGGCTCTCACTTTTTAATTTTGGTTGGGGTGCATGATATCCAAAATATAATTACCGATTCCTTTTTGTTGTTTAAATTGCATCCAACATGTTATTCACCTGTCTTGATTTATCAATGAAAGGTTTAGTAAAATTCTTCACTTCAGCGAACTCTAATGGTCTATTGGTTTGGTGGAAAATGGGAGAATGGAAAGAGGGAGGGAGGAAGGATACAGGGGGTATAGAAAGTTTGGTTCAGGAAGAAAAATGGAATCATCCTTTATATATTTCCATCTCTCCTACCAAAATGATTGTAAGGTTCTCTTATGTCTAATCGAGCTGCTTTTGGCTTGTTTCAGGTGGTGTCCCTTCTGGTAAACGAAGATGCAATCTATCTGTATATAACATGTACATAGCTTTGTGCCGTTATAGCTCTCTCTCTCTCTCTCTCAAATTCATTTTAATGTGTATAAAGACCCTTGAAATTTGTGAGTCAAATTCCCCTATGATGTTTGGGATGGCAATATGTAAATTGTCGTGAATGACGAGGAAATTATTCTTCGTGGAAAAAAAAATACTAGGTTTTTTTGAGTTTTGCAAATAGTTGTCAATGAGTTCTTTTAACATGGTGTATTTCTGTTTAGTTAACAATTAGAGATACGATATCAATAAAGCCGTTGGTGTATTTTCATGTGTTGTCTTTGTTCCGTATTTGAGTTCTTTCACGGGGTGTATTTCTATTGGTCAAAAATTTAAAAATTACCCCCCCGTTTCCTAGATATTCTCAACTCTTTTAATTTAATGATTTAAAAATTACCCCCGTTTCCTAAATATTCTCAACTCTTTTAATAACTACCTCCCTACTTGATGCTTCGTCATGATTTGTTATATATTTTCACTGATACTATTTATTATATATGCTTATGAGTTAACGTTCTAGTCATAATGTCTTATCGTGTATTCTATGAATGGGTCAAAATCAGATGAATATGAGCCACGGCATAGGAAATCAATGTCGGTCTCTATTAGAGTCTCTGAAAAATGATTGAGAACAAAAGTGGTGGTGGCAAGAAGAACCTAGTGGTAGTGGCGAAGATGATGACTGACATCAAAGAAAATCCCTACAAAGCAGTGTTTGGTACACACTTTGCCCGTACATGAGAATGAAATCCCTTCACGTTTTATATTCCTCTATTAAACAATTTTGGTTTGATTAAAAAATCAGCTTCGTTGTTCACGTGGCAAATATGTCCAAAATTGTTGGCCCTTTCACGTGTTACAATTGAATACTCCCCTCACCAATAATGTAGAAAATCAACAGCTTCAGCCACTTGCATAATTACTCTTACACCCCTAGACTATGCCGCTCGGTTAACAATACTCCATAAATATCAACTTTCTCATATTGTATGTTATTGATTAAATTGAGTTTCACACTGCTTGCTCAGTCGTTGACTTTGATCCAATTGACACAGTGTAAATCAAGTCAAAAAGAAAAATTCCACCATACTAAAAGATGCGGTGCGATCCTTTCCTAACCAGCTAGGTGATATTATATTGTACACTGAACTTGCCCCGAAAATTTTTACAAGGTTTAGTAATTGGAGCAATGTGAAACTTTAACTATTTCTTTCTTTTCCAAGCATGTTAGATGGACGTGTAAATTCAATTGGTTCTTATTTTTCAGTCCCATCGTTTTTGTATATATATTTACGAGGAGTCACATTTTATCTTTAATGATCTGTTTGTTAGGGTAGATGAAAAAATGAAAAGTGTAAGTGATATACTTTTTATCTTTTAAAGGAATATTTTTTCTTTCCCTCCTTTGTATTGGATAAGAGGGATGAAAAGTATAAAATATTAATTTGTTTGTATTTGGTAAGATGTAAAAAGAATTTTTTTTTTTAAATATAAATACATATTTTATCATTATATCTATATATATAATTAATATATACATAATATGTAATTAATAAATATGATATATTTATATATATCAAAGAATATATAAATAAATAACATATATTTTAACACACATAATTAATTTTTTATCTACTTCCACTATCCCCACTCCCACCACCACCATCACAATCATCACCACCACTAACCTCTATAACAATTGGTGCTTAAACTCTTTTTTTTTCTTTTATCTTTGTAATTTATTTTTTGTTGTGAATATAAATATATTTATTATTAATTTTTTTTTATTATTTCGTGTCTTTAGGCACAAAAAATAACTAATATTACAATACTTTAATACATTGAGGCTGCGATATAAAAAATCTAATCTTTCAAAATACAAAATGAAAATTTTTAAATATTTTGTGTACAAAATGCAATTCACCCTTAGTTTACTTTCAAAGTTTCAACCCCCCGTCAAGCTGCTACCTTGTAGTTCTAACTTATAAGCCACAAAAGCAACCACCAAATCTCGCGCGAACACCGGACAACTAAAAACTGGAAATTTCTAAAATACGCCTCTGGAAGAGTGACCCCACTCCCCCCCCCTCTCTCTCTCTCTCTCGCTCTCGAAACTATTTGGTTTCGAACTGAAATTCCTATTCTACTGATTCTAATCGGAAGCGAAGAAGAATAACAAATGGCTTCGCTCGAGATTTTGAAATCCTCGTTATCTCTATTTTCAGTGTCACAACCGAATTCTCGCCGGAGATCGAATTATTTCTGGTCGGAATTCAATTCTGAGGTCACCGCGAAGAGGATTCTCAGGATTCGAAGTCATCGGAGCTCGGAATTTTGGACGAACAAAAGGTTTACGGTTTGTTGTAAAGTTCAAGATGGTGAAAGACAAAGCAATGGTAAGCTTTTCTGGAAAATTTCTTCTTCTTAAAGCTTTGTTGGAGAAAATTTTCTTTTCACAATTGCTTCTAGTGTACTCAATCGTTCTGATTTCCTCGACTATCGTTAAAATTCATGAATAATTCAAAGTGTAGAATACATGCACACACAGACACGTGTGTGTTTGTGTGTAGCATGTATGTATTCGGTGGATGGATGGATAAGAGAAGTGGTTGTGATGTTGTTACTTGATTGGGAGAGATTTCATCATGGAGGGGATATTGTATGGAGCAGGTGAATAAGCACCTAACGCCTCTTAACTGCGTAAACGGCTTACTTTTGGACAACAAGCATTTGTGTGGAGTCAAAAGCTACATTTGTATATTAGAAGAGCTAAAGACAACTAAAGGGGTTACTAGGATGTTCTAGCATAAACTAATGGGGAAATTTTTGATGAAAACTGAATTTTAGGCCCGAGAAAAAGGGGGAACACAGAAGAACACATTCACACACTCGCCCACACAGACGGGAAAAAATATTCTGTTTCTTTCAAGTAGTATAGGCATAGTGTTCAAATGAATTCAAAGGTTTTTCTATAATAGAGAGTTGTGTTAAGGTGCACAGCGTGTAGCAAAGTTGTTAGTTAGGAGTATTATCATGATGTAGTCGGGGAATGATGGAAATTGATAGAAGGGAAGGGCTTGACTACGGTATCAAAAACAACTATTGTGGGTAAATATGCAATTTTTGGGGTTTTAGTTATAAAAAAATTTTGATCGATCCTAAAATATATAACTTCTTGAAGTCACATTACAACTTTTTTGGATTAAGTTACAAATTTTAGAAGCCAAGTTACAACATTTTGGAGATGCATAGGATTTATCCTAACATTTCAAAATCGATCCTAACTCGATGTTGAAATGTTAGAATCGATTCTAAACACCCCCAAAAGTTAGTAATTGACGGTTCGGTACCCAAAAAAAATCGGTAGTAGACTTATCCACAAGGGAAGGTGCCATAGTGACAAAGAGAACAGCTGGGTAACTGGGATTTCTCCACTATTCAGATTGCTAACATTGTTACAGACCAGTTACCCTTTTTGTAATAGCTCCTAAATAAATTTGAAGAATAAACCCTGTTAAATTTTCTTGTAGCAAAACAAGGGGGAAAAAAAGACAGAAGGTCAAAAAGTGATCAAATGTACAATCTCATGTTCTAGCTTTGACACGTAGTCAAGATCTGCACTCAGTTATGAGCTCTAGGTGTTGCTTGTAGGGAGAAAATGACGTCTCTACAAGGTGATAAGATTGTCTTTTCTAGGGCTTAATTATTAATTCATAAAGCACAAGTAATCATGTAGTTCCATTTTTTATTTTTTTTTATTTTAACAAGCATGTAGTTCCATTGGTTGTGAATCAATTACCCATTTAATTTTTGTGGAGCTGCATGTCATTAATGGTAGCATTTAAAAGTGATAAACAGGATCACAAATTAGTTTAGTCCTAGTTGCGTACTAAGTTTGCATTCCATTGTTAGCATGAACACTTCCATGACCCATAACTTCAGCAGGGGTCATAGAATGAATGACCACATTCTTGGGGCTGCACTTGTAAGTCTATTTGGCATCTAAAGTTCTTTTAGTGTGCCTCTCAACTGGATGCATTCGAATTTTTGTGTCACATATGGCAAAAAAAAACTCAGGTGAAGAACCTCCGGAGTCATTGTTTATGAAGGAATTAAAGAAACGGGGTATGAATCCCTCCTCTTTACTCGAAGAAAGCAATAGAAGCATTTCCGCAGATGAGATAAAAGTTAAGGAAGAAGGTGGAGGTTTCTCAAGTAGAAATGCAGTGTCAACAGACTTTGAAAGAAATCTATCTAATCAAAGGGAGCTCTCCATGGCATTGAATAGTGAAGGCCTTGAGGTTAGCACATTTTCCTTTCTTGATCACTTCAATTAGTGTTTTACCTCAAACGTTCAATATACAGCCTTTTGATTATCAAATATTTAGATTCATAGTCTTGTTATGTTCATGTTGGGCTTGTGTACTATTTGACACTTGATAATTACACTTATGCTACAATATGGTTGAAATTACCACATAATTTGTCATTGGCATTTTTTATTATAAGAGCTGGTTGTTCTGAAACATTTGGAAGGTATCACATATCTGGGAGTCAGACTTGCAAATCTTGGCTGTAGTCCGGGCTATTTCAGACTATATAATACTGGAATTTTTAGGTGAATTTGACAAAATTCTCTGGTTCCTTCTCCTACAATTGCATCAGCAGTGATAATTACTATGTGGAGATCTATAACGGCCTCATTTTTTTTGGTGAAAATTCAATTGAGTCGTTACTTTCCAGTGATATGTGGAGGTTCCCCGTATCATGATGCGACACATATAGAAGCAATGCACTAAGTTTCATTTGTGAAAATGTCTGTGAATATATGCTTATTGAATTCTCTTTGTTTGTGTACAAGGAAATGGACTTTATATCTTCGGTTTTTTAATGTCAGGGTCTGATTCCACGTGCTAAACTTCTGCTAACACTTGGGGGAACATTCTTCTTGGGATTTTGGCCATTGATCCTGATAACAGTCTCGTTCTTCTCTGCTCTCTACCTTGTAAGCTCTTTCTTGATTTTTTATTTTGCTGTGCTGTGTTTTGGCTTGGACACATGCTGTCATCTATGGCCCAATCCAAAAATTTAGATCATGATTACGTTGTTCGTTTCTGTGTATGAAGTAAAAGGAAAGGTGAAGATTTATAGAAGTGTCCAAATTAACAGGGCAATATACAATCTCTTGCTGACAAATGTTGTACATGGCATCAGTGGTATGAAGCGTGCAACGTATCCTAGATTGAGACCATTACATCTTATTACTTACAAGATATTGTTTTAACCAAATGACAGAAAACTTGACTTGATGGAAAAGTTAAAAATTAGGTTCTTGATTGTCTTTATTTTTAGTCGCTAAGCCCTTGTTTTCTTACTCAAAAATTTGGAGCTTTAGTTGGACTAAAAAAGGTGGTGGGAGAATGTTATGAGATTACACTCTCGTTTTCATTCATATTGCTCATCTTTCGTGATCTGTAAATTTTCTCTTATCTGTTATTCCCTTTGAGAATGGCTCCTTAATTCTTTGCTGCTGTTTGAATCTAGCAATGATTGCAAATTGTGAATATATCTTTGCGGGAGTACGTTTTTCCTTTTAATTCTATTGCCCCTCCTTTAATGTTATTTTGTCGCTAAAGGTGCCCCCGCAATGCACGTGAACAGAGTGTACATGAATCAAGCCAAGAGCTAAAAACACAGAAAAAAATGTAGGAGAAACAAATAAAAAAAAGTGAGAAGTTGGGCAACTGTTCGATGAGCTGGCATATTCTTAATACTGCTGTTTATCTCTCAGCATTATAAATAATTAATAGGGATAAAACAGGCAATCCAAAAGATTCATAAGAGAACTGCCAACAATAGTAGGAGGGCCGAGCGCAACTTCTCTTTCCCTGTAACATAAATAGTGCAAATGAATATATGATAATTTTTTGTGTTGGTGGTGAGACATATATGCACTCAGCATGTAGATCAGTTTTTGCCTTAAGTTTCACGAGAGTGAATATTGATCATTTTATTTCCTTTAACTTTGACAGTATTTTGGACCAAGTTTCATTCATGATGGCAGTGAAAAGCCTGTGGCATCACCCCAATATGTTGATCCATATGCACTTTTGGAAGATGAAAAGATATCACAAACAGCCCCTCATCTGAATTGAAGGACCACAAGTCCTCACGTATGTCAGCTTCTTCAAACTTCAACTACAGGTTCTGTTGCTTATATTCCTTTGCCTCATTCTATTCTCTCAGTAAAAAATTCTAAAACTTAGCAAGTAACTCTTTGTTCCTTTGTTTTGTCTATCACCTAATTGTTGTGACCCAACTGTTAAGGTGAATGTTAGTAAAATGTCTATTAGAATCACATTTGTTATTTTTATGCATTTGTTCGTATTTATAGCCCCACTTCTTTACGAAAATCACCTTGAATTCCTGCAAGCAACAAAAGAAAGTTTAAATGTACTTGCAAATTAGATTTAAGTACAAGTCATGAGAGAATATGTCAGTATAGTGTTATAAATAAATATTTGTCTGTGGACATAATTGTTCAGATCGGACTGATTTACAATCAGAATTTGGGAACTCTAGCTCATGGTCCTTGCTTAGAGAATGTTTGTTTGTAAAGTGTTCTTACCCAATGTGGTCCTCGTTTATCAGGGTGCTAAGGGGTGGACAGCACAGATATAATCTTCGACATTATTAAACATAAAATGGCTGCCTGCAGTTTTGAACTCCCAATCATACTGGTTGTTCCCAACCCCAAGGACTTTGCCCCGCTTAACCGGGGTCCCAAGGCCACCATATAAAATTATCCGTCTAGTACTCTAATATTGCTAGGAAAACTTCCTCCAACAGTGGGAGGGCTGAGCACAACTTCTCTTTCCATGTAGCATACATATTGCTGCAGAATATATGCTAGTTTTTTTTTTTTTCCTGCCTATTTATAATTTTTTTGTGTTGGTGGTGAGACATATATGCACTAAGCTTGTAGATCAATTTATGACTGCAGTTTCATGAGAACAAATATTGATCATTTTATTTCCAATTCCTTTGACAGTATTTTGGACCACGCTTCATTCATGATGCTAGCAAAAGACCCAAAGCATCACCCCAATATATTGATCGATATGCACTTTTGGAAGATGGAAGGATATCACAAACAACTCCTCGTCTGAATTGAAGGACTAAATTTCCTCAGGTATGCCAGCTTGCGAACTTTCAATTACAGGTCCTGTTGTGTTTATTCCTTTGACCCATTCTATTCTATCTGTAAAAACTTATAAAACTTAATCACCTAATTGTTGTGATCCAACTATTATGGTGAATATAAAAACTTCTATTAGAATCAGATTTGTTATCTTTACAACATTTGTTCGTATCTATGGCAACATCTTTATGAAAATCACCTTGAATTCCTGCAAGCAACAAAAGAAAGCTTAAATATACTTGCAAATTAGATTTAACTATTAAGTCACGAGAAAATATGTCCATATGGTGTTATATAAGTATTTGTTTGTGTACAAAGTTGTTGGGATTGGATTGATTTGTATTCAAATTTTGGGAACTCTGGCTCGTGGTCCTTTGAAAATGTTTGTTTGTAAAGAGTTCTTACCTAATTTGGTCCTCGTTTATGAGGGTGCTAATGGGTGGATAGCACTAATAACATAAAATGACTACTTTTGGTTTTGAACTTCCAATTATACTGGTTTTTATCCCAACCCTAAGGAGTTTGACCAGCTAAACCCGGGTTCTAAGGCAGCCATATAAAATAAAAATTAGTGACAATTGGAACTATGTATAATATGAGAAACTCTTTTGTCAATAGATCCAGGCGCAATTTTTTTGGGTTAATAAGGACACGTGTACTTTTTTATAAGTAGGTACAATATTTCCTTTACTTTTTTTTATTTCTTATTTTGACTGTCAGTTTTTTAGAAGTAAGTACAATATTTCCTTTACACTTTTTTATTTCTTATTTTGATTGTCAGTAGATAACGCATATCTTTTCAAAACTCCTCTCTCTTTGTTTAATTTTTCTCTCCTCTCTCTTCCAATTTTTCTCTCCTCTCTCCTCTCTCCTCTCTCCTCCCTCCTCTCTCCTCCTTTAATTTGTCCGTCTAACCATTTCTCCTTTACTCTCTCTTCTTTAAATTATCTATCCTTTTCTATCTTCCATTTCATTACTTCTCTCTCTTCTCTCTTCCGTCCCTTTAATTTCTCTCTCCTATCTATTCTTTATTTTTTTCTCTAACTCTAATTCTAACGTTCTTCTCCAATATATTATTTATTTAGGTCCCCTCTCTAGGATTCAAATCTCTTCCATTACCCTTTCCTTTCAATTTCCCTCAATACAGTGTTAGATGAGTAACGTGTAAGATTCTAAATTTCAATGGACAAAATATTTTCCTTGTGCAAAAAATCTTTAATAACGGTTAACATTCCACCAACAACAAAATGAATGAGATAATATCTTATCCATTAAAATTCAAAATCTTATACATGTTACTCATCTAACATTGTATTGAGAAAAATTGAAAGGAAGGGATAGTAGAAGGGATTTAAATCCCCCTCTCTCCTCTATATTTTATGTCACTCTCATACCTTAATTAAGTTTTTGTCTCACTTTATCTTACCTATTTCATTCAACTATTTATCTCTTCTCTCGCTTCCTTCTATTTTCTTTATTTTATCTCTTTTTCCACAATGCATTGTTGATAGATTATGTCTATTGTTGCCGTCAAACAATCATCCATATTTGTTATGAATCACATTCATGGTAGTGATGTTCTTTGTGCAGCTCATTTTGACAATATTTGTTGAATTTATCAGTAATGTAATGACTATGTGAGCCCATTTTTCTCTCCAAATTAGGACACACTCTCTCTTTCTATATCTCATACACCCAACTCTCATACCTGTAAAACACACACTATATATATATCTCATTCACTCTCTCTTTTAGCATTGACTTTCATTCCACATATAACACAATCTCTCTCTTATCTCTTATACATTTTAAACACAAACTCTCTCATATGTTATAAAACACTATCTCTATCTTATACACTCACCTCTCATACGCCTTTCTCTCTCCTATCTCGTACTCTCCCTCTTTCTTAGCATTGACTTTCATTCCTCATAAAACTCTCCTATCTCATATTCTCTCTCTCATATCTCACACACTCTCTCTCCCTCTCATAATATTGAATTTCATTCCTAATTGAATTGTTGAACAAATTGTTATCTTTAATTGTATTATAAAATCACTAGTGCATTCAGTTACCTGTAAAGTTATCGCCAAATCAGATTTTAACTAATCTGAATCCGAATTCAATTTAATTATTTGATAAATTTTGTTTTCATAATCGATACCTAAATTCATTAACAATATGCAATATCAAACAATTTAATTTCATCCAAAAATTAAATCTAAATTTTAACTAAATTTATTAAAATAATCACTTAATCTTTTTCATATTTATATTTAAATTCATATACATATTTTGGATTAGGTCATAATCAAGTCGGATATAAAATTATAAAATTATGTCAAATTCAACTCTGTAAAATATAAATTACAAATGTGGATTCAAATGCAAATTATCAATAAAAAATATTAATATAAATCCATCTACTTCTTATTCAAATTCAAATTGACACGCCTAATTGCCGGAACACACGCACTTCACTCAAACAAGCATGCAGCCACCCGCACCATCCAAGCCATTCTTCGTTAACAGTACCAATTGTTTTAAAAGAAAACCAATAGAAACACAATTATAGATATAATTCTAAACGCCAAATGAACGTATAGAAATAAAAGATACATATAACCATGAGTTTTGAACACGAATTGCATCAAACAGGAGAGAACTTAAAGCATAAGTCACAGAGACTCGCACTAAAACAGCATAAACCGCACACAACGCAAACAAAACAGAAGAGATAGTAAATATTATTATAGAATGATCAAACCGACAGCAATCCAAACCCCAATCAGTACTCCTCGTCACAGTTATCATCATCCTCAGGGGCCTCGGCACCAACCTCTTCATAGTCCTTCTCCAAAGCAGCAAGATCCTCACGGGCTTCAGAGAACTCGCCTTCTTCCATTCCCTCACCGACATACCAATGAACAAAGGCACGCTTGGCATACATGAGATCAAACTTATGATCAATGCGTGAAAACACCTCCGCCACACTGGTCGAGTTTGAGATCATACACACAGCCCTCTGAACTTTGGCAAGGTCGCCTCCCGGAACAACAGTGGGTGGCTGGTAGTTGATACCACACTTGAATCCCGTGGGGCACCAGTCGACAAACTGGATGGTGCGCTTGGTCTTGATGGTGGCAACTGCAGCATTCACGTCCTTGGGTACAACATCACCACGGTACATCAGACAGCAAGCCATGTATTTGCCGTGGCGGGGATCACATTTGGCCATCATAGATGAGGGCTCAAATGCACTGTTGGTGATCTCAGCAACTGAGAGCTGCTCGTGGTAGGCTTTCTCAGCTGAGATCACAGGTGCATAAGAGGAGAGCATGAAGTGGATTCTAGGATAAGGGACCAAGTTGGTCTGGAATTCAGTCACATCCACGTTCAAGGCACCATCAAACCTTAGAGATGCAGTCAAAGAGGAAATCACCTGAAAATCATTAAAAAATTAGATGTAAGCCAACACAACACTTGGATGTAGAGACTCTTAGGTCCTGTCCCAAAAGTTACAATCAAATCAAGTCTCAAATGGGTTTAGTTACGACTCGGTGAAATCGATCCCAAGTTTTTATTAGGTTAGATGCCAACACTATTAAAAGATCAATTCTAAAAAATTTTAACCTCATTAGACGTAAAGTGGACTGTGTGAATAGCAACTTGACTGAACATTTACCAACTTTGTGGTAGGTATCAAACCCAGTACCACAGATTTTCCAGAGTCCAAATGAGATCTCATCTCTATAGAGAAAACATCCAATTTTATCACCACCTCAATGTCAAAGCATGACAATCACTTTTAATATATGAGTTCACGTAAATGTTACCTGAGAAACGAGACGGTTAAGATTGGTGTAGGTGGGTCGCTCAATGTCAAGTGAGCGCCTGCAGATATCATAAATGGCCTCATTGTCGAGAAGTATGGAGACATCAGTGTGTTCTAGAAGGGAATGGGTTGAAAGGACACTGTTATAGGGCTCGACAACAGATGTAGAGACCTGTGGGGAAGGATAGACTGTGAAACCAAGCTTGGATTTCTTGCCATAGTCAACAGATAAACGCTCCAAAAGCAGGGAACCAAGACCAGAACCGGTGCCCCCACCAACGGCATTGAAAACAAGGAAACCTTGGAGGCCAGTGCAGTTATCAGCAAGCTTTCTAATACGGTCCAAGCAGAGATCAACAATCTCCTTTCCAACTGCACGTCAAAAATATTCAATATTATACTTTGAAATATGCGAGAACTAAGCAAATCAATAAGGACTTGTCAACGCATATATTACTTGTGTAGTGGCCACGGGCAAAGTTGTTGGCAGCATCTTCCTTCCCACTGATCAACTGTTCTGGGTGGAAGAGCTGACGGTAAGTTCCGGTCCTAACTTCATCGATAACAGTGGGTTCAAGATCCACAAAGACAGCACGAGGGACGTGCTTCCCAGCACCAGTTTCGCTGAAAAAGGTGTTGAAGGCATCATCACCTCCACCAACAGTCTTGTCACTTGGCATCTGGCCATCAGGCTGTAAAACAGAGCACAAAACTTTACTAATCGAACAATCTATTGTCCATACATGGATAATCACATATAAGCAGCATATCCAAAGAACCCAAACATCATTTATGTCTTCTATGAAAGTTGAAGACCAATGTGCATTACGAGAAAGCTAAAAGATCAATCATTGTCAAAAATACAGATATGAAATGTCCAAGAAATAATACTGCAGAAGGAATAAAACAATTATAGCTACAAAGGAATGCACAGACAAGTAAAAAAACATATAGCATAACGAAGACACCAAGTTGCCCCCCAGGATTTACTCCTGGTTCCATCACTGATCGAGTCTAATTGCCCATGGCAGATAAAGAATAAGTTCATCGACAAATCATTCTGTCAACAAAACCCTATCTTTAAGATTTTTTTTGAATAAAACTTATGAATTGATATGTGGATGGGTAAGATGAAAATAAACATTATATTGGAATCAAATCAAAAACACAAAGTGTTCTATTGACTTTCTTGCTATAGTAACCGTAGATCTATCATGAGTACAATCCTTCTATGAGAAAATGCTGAATAACTCTGTATGTGCTGTGCAGATTCGAAAGCATTAAAAACTTCCATGTGAAAATAAATTATACATCCAGATTTGTATTATCTGTTTGGGCAATTCAACTACAACTTATTTCAAAGATCCATTAATCTAATTGTCGTATACCATAAGAAAATGCCAGATCTGCTAAAATGACCACATTATAACAACCACCTATCCACGGAACAAATCTAAATTAATTTTTTTTTCTCCTAGATCTGATGAAACATGACATTCCTAAGCAGAAATGAACTCAAAAATGGTCAAATCATTCTAATAACTCAACAAGCACTAGATCTAGCAACATGGCTTCGGTATCATAAAAAAAACGTAATATAAACGACAGATCTACACGCTTCCAGATCAAATTCCATAGATCTAACTAATACGAAACATTTCAGTCAACAGATACATACGTACATAGATCGAGATCTGAGATATACCTGGATGCCATGCTCGAGGCAATAAAGTTCCCAGCAGGCATTTCCGACCTGAATACCGGCCTGGCCAATGTGGATCGAAATGCACTCTCTCATTTTCGCAGAACCGAGGGAGAGAAAGAGAGTTCGAAAAGAAGCGCAGAAGATCAAATCACAAAGCGTTTATGAAGACGCCTTGCGAGATCTGATGATTTTAAACGCAGACTCTGGCACTCTCCCTATACCCTGTTCTTGTATATTTATAGTCAAGAGAGAGAGAGATGGTGGAGTCAGGTTAGGTTAGGTTTAGTTTGTGAGAGGAAATGGACGGTAGAGATCCGCCGGGGGTGGGGGAGGTGTGTGACGTGTCAATCATCGCGTGGATGTTGAGGGGGTAATGAGTTTAACCATGGTTAACCTTTAATTTAAAAACACATTGCCGCCCGTTACCAAACTTTGTCAACTTGGCAGTGGCAGTAAATGAATTTCAAAAAGACTCCATTACATGTGACGCCTGACACAAGATTCCAAGCTTAATGGGACCCACCATCAGATGATTATATGCCGGATCAATAACCAAATTATCATATTCTTTAATTTTTCATTACGCTTCTTCTATTGTACACAATGAAAGAATCCTCTTAACTCGGTTTTCATGGCCGTCTCCAAGGTCTGGATTAGATTTTGATTGAATCACGACTTTACAAACGATTTTGAGTTTAATGGGACCCATCATCAGATGATTTGCTAGCAAATTATACGGATCAAATTATGATAAAAAAATGTACCTAATATACGAGACTCTTGTCATTGTGAAATTTAGGGATGATTAACTGTATGTAGTCGTATTTCTATAAACAGAGAAGTTGTTTCTGCTACTCAAATCCATATCCTCCAGAACATAATGGAACAATTTTATTGTTATTCTAAGGTCCACCCTCTTTTGGATTAGGTTATGATGTTGTACCAAAATTGATATACAATGTTAAATTACAAAATAAAAAATTTATGCATGTCATATTTTTATTGAAGATAAAATAAACTTACTTTACACTTTCCTTTTGAATTTGTTTATAATCAAACATTTTTGAGAATCAAATCAACTACCTATATCAAATTCAAATGCATAGAAGGATTTGATAATTGAGTTATCAACCTTAATGGAGCTTTATTTTAGCCTTTATGATTTACCAATCCGTAAAATTTTCTAACAATTGAGTACTAAGATTAAGTTTACGATAGAATTTATTATTTGAACAGGTCTTTTTTATCCTATATTCGAGTAAGTCCGTTAACAATATAAAACAAGGATCTGGTTGGGTAGATGAATTTAAGAGGATGGGATTGGAGCATCAAATGCAACGGCGATTGTCATGTTTCTTGTTTCTTTGTGCGATTGCTTTGCCGTCGATTATGGTGGCCATATGATCAGACGGCAAAGGCGATGTCATTGTAGTCTTACAACCTTCTTCTTTGCAATGAACAAGAAGGACAAAAATCGAAGGACCGTTGATTTATCAAGAATGAATGGAAGTATGAAATCACTAGTTGATGATTTAGTCTGTGCAATTAAATAAATAGAGATTAGTTGTCAGTTATCCACCAATCCCTGCCCTACCTAGAGGGAGAAAGAGAGACTCATGTTGAGAGGAACGAACAACATCCTCCACTCCACTGTTGCAAAGGGGGCTGGGCAACTCAATTTAGGGCAAAATGTTGAAAAGGGCTAAAAATCAACTTTTATACTAAATTAAATGACACGCCCTGTTTGATGAGTTTTCCTAGATTTTTTACGATTTACGAAATGACTCTAATTTTTATGTACAAACGATCCAATAGGTGGTGAACCGGTCCGATTTAGGCACCAGATCAACCTGTCGGGCAGGGCACTTTGGACACTAAAGTAGAGTGTATGTACGGCCCTCACAAAAGTGAAGGTTTTATTTGATAAAGACTAAAATGTCCTTATTATGTAGATATGACATCATTTGACGCTAACTTGTCATTTCACTGATGAACCCACCCACCAACCATTTCTTGGGCTTTCAACAGTTTTAGTGCTGGCCCCACTTTAATCACGTCTCCGTGTAGACCTACTATGAACTTGATTATCATTAATAGATGTGAGATATCTGAAATCAATATAATAATGTTTAATATAATATAATGGAAATATGTTTGTTTGATTTGCTTTATTTGAAAATGAACAAATTTTGTATGTATTTCTGTATATGTTAATGTTAAAATGTTACATTGTCTTATTGGATTATTGATTTATTGCGCTTTATTATGATTATAAATAAAAGTTATATTTTAATAACATTCATATTTTTTTTCATAGGAAGAAAAAATAATTAAATTTGAAAACCATAAAGAAACAAGAAAATATACGTATACAAACATGAGTTTGAATTAAATTGATGAAAGAACAAAATAATCATTTATAGACAAATATATTATCATAATAGTAATATATTCACGGACATATCAAACATGGGTATGGACGAAATTGAATGTTGAATCTCATCTATATAAAGAAGAGTTTGGATTTGAGTTTGAAAAAGTTTTGACAAACAAATTCAAACCCTTTCTAAAAAACCATCCAAACAGCCCCTATCAGTTTATTGGAACTTTTCATGCAGGATTAAAAAAAAAAATCAGAGAATGGGTCTTTTAAAGATGCCTACCAAACATAGGATAAGCCATGAGGTTAGACAAATCTATCCAATTTATCCCACCCAAACCCCCATACCAAACAGGTACCAAACAGGCCCCAAGTGATTGGATTAGAGAAAAGGGAAGAAAATCTATAATTAGAAACCAACGAAAGAGAAATGGAAGATCCACGCATGCTACACTTTTTAGCTATTGAGAGAACCAAAGTACTCTCTTTCAGGGTGAAACAAGGGATATATTCCACAGAGGCTTGAAAAAGAAGTACCCCACATTTTGATATATAAATATGAACAAAATTGAAATTGGCAAACAGTTAAAAGCAGTTAAAAGTACACAAAATTGATCTACAAACCAAAAAGAACAAAAAAAAAAAAAGGAATGGATGTCACTTTGCAATCAAGAATAAGCAATGCTTTTTCTCAGCTTATAGTCAGAAGTGTTCGATGTGTATGACCATAAGAACAGAATGCCTCACCTTCTCCGGTGAAGTCACCTCTGATTACATCTCAGCATCTTTATTATCGTTAGTTCCTCCTCTCAAAGATACTTCGGTAATTGTTGGGGATCATGCTCCTCTGACAGGATAGGATGGAATCAATTTGCAGGTCGCGTTCCAGTCCATGCATGGTTCTCATCAAGGTCATTTACCACGCGATTGCGACTTTCTTGCACGTAGGATATCCCAGTCCATATCCCACGAATAAGTAGGATACTTACATATACCACACTGCCAAGGGTGCAAACTACCTGCCGAGGATATAGCCATAAAAAGCAAATAAGAGTGAGGATGGTTTCTAAATTACACTTTTGCAGCCACACACACAATTCGTTTCTTCTTTTTTTCAACTGGGAGAGAGAATCTAATCAAACAATTCCAAAAAACATGAATACAATTATGCAAAGCTACTATAAATTCTAAATCATGGATGTATTTTCATTTGTTTCCAGATGTAAAGAAGTGGCATGCCATACATCCATGTTGGTGTACTGCACTGCAGGATTCATGTTTCAAAAGCTTTACTATGAAGGCTTCTTCAAGAATATCTGCAGCTATAACAATTAACAACAATCAGACAAGTGTTCTATATCTAGCATCTCTTACCACAAGATAAACTATTACCCTTTAAAAGTTCACACGAGGCTCAATCAACAAAGCAGTTCCCTATGACATAAACATCTATTATCAGCAAGCATCCCATAGGTGCTCGACCCATACCACTCACATAAGATAGAAAATAATGCAGAGCAACCTGAAATTACTCCATAGCCACTAGCCAGGTCTGTTCTGTCAGAGCATTTATTACTTTTTTTTTTCTCATGCATAGGAACGGCACCAAGAACCTTGACGAAGCCTTTCCATGGAGACCGCAGGAATAACACAACACTCTTGCTCTTTCTCTCTCAGCCCAAGTTGCCTACGAAACCTCACCTTCAATCTGTCCATTGCAGGTCCCGTGTTATAACACCTCCATCAGCCAAACCTTCTCACAGAAGCTAAGCTAAGAAGGAACCAACCTCTTCACACAGATATTCTAATTTGTAGGTGCTCCAACCTCTCCACATAGATATTCTAATTTGTAGGTGCTCCAACTAAAAGACCATACCTTTTTTCCCAACATCAGCTATTGCATAGGCATAAGTTGTCGAACTCAAAAGAATTTTTTGTGTCCACTGATTAAAGAACACATTACCTACATTACAGCATCACTTGGAACTGATAGAGAACATAGTACATAGATGATTACAGCATGACTTGGAAGTGTATCGAGCATTAACACCCTTCAGGAGGGGAGCTGGGAAGGGAAGGACCAAAGAAGAAAAGATAGGAGGACAACAAGAATAAAAGATCTGATCACATAAAATCATTTGTAACATTTTGAACCCAGTGTTGACACAATGGCTTTTAGAAATGGTTGAAGGAAGAATTGTACTCAATAAACAAATTCATCAAAATTTGTGTAGACCCTTGACACAAATTTTGGTTTACAATCTTGTTCTTTTGGACCAAAGTGCCATAAGAATTCCTGAGAGAAAAAAGGGAGGAGAACCTGCTGGGCAAGAATTGAATCTAATCAAGTAAGATACTGTCTATTGGCTTTCAGTACAGCTATGACCCATGAAGCTCACATTCTATTGGGTACATACGGCAACTAAGCATATAATGAATATTGAAACCAATCATTCAGCCTTAGGACTAAGAGCAACTCTGAGTACCAGTGATGAGTTTCCAATCAGTGAGAAATGGCAATCGAGCACCGAGTAATATTCATGAGCATGCAACTGCAACAGAAAATGTTTACCTCAAGGAATGCTTTCAAAACCCACAAAAATGCCAGGATTATGATTCCGTTTACAGAAAACCCCACCTAAAAAAGATAGAATACATCATGAACCAATGGAAAAAATATATCTTAGCAAACCAAACTGATTTTTCTCATTTCAATGATGCAATTTTAAAAAAACAAAGAAACAAATCGAGACTGCCTACTAATATCTTGAGCATTTTAATTATTGGATATTTGATCATTTGGTGGCAGCAAAATGTCCAACAAAAAGAAAAGATAGTTTTTCTTCTTTTCTTCTTTTTTTTTTTTTTGATAAAAATATATGCATAGTACAAAATGGTTGGTTTGGCCAATTACTGGTGTTAGATAAAGTAGGTTGTCTTTTGCTTTTGCCGCATTACACCTCCCACTTGGATCTTGGACATTAACAAGTTGTTTGATATGCAGAGGACTTCCCTTTCCCATCTCACCATATGTCTCACCATCATCATTCAAACCAGACATCATCACAGAGACATCAAGTAATTTTTTATATAATAAAGTAGCTAACTACTTCTGTAGCTCTGATTTAACAAACAAAGCACAAACCAATTCTGCTCGTCAGCAGTGATGAAATTTTTCTTTCTTATTTCATTAACAGGCTTTTGTTATCTACCAATTTTCCCTAATCTCCTCCCAGATCCGGCATACCAAATACCCCCTGCAACTATGTTTGCATATGATTCCTAACTCTCTCTAATTGCAACCGTTGCCCCGAAGCTAACAATTTTACTTCGCAAAATTCGACCTGAAGCATTGAGTAGAATTTAGAGTTTTACCAATTTGGTGGAGACGGCGCCAGGTAGAACCGATCGAACAGCCTTCCTGGCTTTTCTAGAGATCTTCTTGAATACATTCTCCACAAACCTAACCAGAAGATCCAAACTCCGATCTTCATCGTCATCATCTGCTTCATCGTCGTCGTCGTCGTCGTCATCATAGTCTCCGATTACTATGCCACTTCGATTGGTACTCCAAATGCGAGGATCGTCCACCAAATTATCACCTTCCTGGACGAAATTCAAAAGCTCCATCAATCTCGCTGAGCAAAATTGAAGATGCGATCATATCTATGCCGATATGTATATATATATAGAGAGAGAGAGAGAGACAGAGAGAGAACCTGAGGGGAATTGGAGAAGCGTCTGGAAGCTTGAAGACTGGGAAGAGAAGTTCGATTGAGCTGAAATTGAAGGATGATGAGATTGCGATGGCGAGCGGTGTAGTGAGAGAGTGCTTGGGGGAAGGAAGAGAGAGAGGGAGGAGAGAGAGCGACTGATGATGATCCCATGGTTTAACCCAAAAACAGACTAGTACCAGAGAGCGAGAGAGGAAGTGGAATAGAGAGCCATCAATGGCGTGGAACCATTTGCTTTATCTTCAAAACGCCGTCGTCTAGTTCGTAAAGTGATACAATACAAAACCAACAGGGATAATGTGAGGTATTGGCAACTACGGAAACAGCGCCGGTGGCATTTGGGCCAACCCCAAATCCAAGTAACTGTACCAACGAGTGTTGGTCCGGTAAAAACTCTTCAAGTCTCCATAGTTACAGTAATTTGTGGGAAGTAAATGTACTCTTCGGAGTTTAAATCACACAGCGAAATCTTAGTTTTGACCCCGAGGTAAAATCTCACACAAATAACTGTGTTATGTTAAAGAACAATATTTCTCGACAGATATGTAAAATAATTTATCTGTATTTCCATTTCAAGCACTCAAAAAATAAAAATTTAACTAAGTAATCTATATAACGATTTTATCATGTTATCTTCGTTACATAATTTATTAATTAATAATTAATAAATAATAAGAATAACTATCGAACTCTCAACTCTCGGTGTTAAAAGGTCAAAAAAATAAATAGGTGTTTGAAGTAATTACTTTAGCACAAACTGAAGTTAATATCGGTCTGCTATGCGGCTGGTCGATTTCAATATGGTGTTTCATATATATATCATGGATTCGGAAAGAGTGCAACTTATTTTTCGCCTTGCTTTTTCAGTAATGGTTTGTCATTATTCTATTTGACATCTTAATTTTCTATAAGACTAACTTCTTGTATCGAGCGGAATGCATGCCCGAAAGCTCAAATTATAACATTAGCTAGCAAGCCCGTGGCACCAGCAGATGCGACTCTAGCTCATTCCAATCTTATTGTGCAACCCATCTTTCACGTTGGGACACCCCGGGCAACAATTTCCCAAGACGGATTGGAATAGCCTTTGATGCTTGACCAAGAACAACCGTTAGATCTTGAAAATCGTCTTTCTTTTCACTTGTTTGAAAGAGCTAATGTATTTGATCAAAATCTTATTAATAATAATTGAACGTAGAGAAAATTGGTGATTATATAATCTTATAAAGTCTTTAATCAAATTATTCTGAATAAATTACATGAATCATCGTCATCCTGCTATATCAACACATATATACAAACTACTCACGAACAATCATTTTTTTTTTTAATTTTGTTTCGCAAAATTTGCTCTTACCATTGTTGTAATTGATATTTGTAAACCAGTTAAAAACCTGATGTTTGTCATCACAAATGGCTTCATGAGTTCAGCTTCCATACTGTTTGGCGGGCAGAAGGCATACACAGCTGCCAAACAAACCCGACCCCTATCGAGAGATCTGACAAAATTTAAATTTGCTACTTCGAAATTGAAAACAGAAAAACTCCCCCTATCATAATTCAGAACCAAGCAAAACCAGACCTGCCCACTTTAGCAAAACTCCTATCATTCACAACAGCAGTTTCCTTTGTTTGAATACAATCAATTCCAAAGCCCAGGAAAATGACACCCCTCCCAACTTTCAAAATCCTTGTATATACCCAACTGTATATACTATAGACACTTTAATGTGTAACAGAATAGATTTTGGCCTTCATAATGGTGGAAAACAAACAGACTGAGCATTGAATACATTTCGACTCAATTTCCAAGCACAGAATCTACACATGCTGGGATAAGGTGGGTAAGGTTGCATCCATCTTACCAGACTTCACCGCAGCACAAGTCTAGTAAACTGGGCTGTCCTTTTTATCCCAAACACTGGGTCATTCATAACATTGCAAGTTGCCAATTTGCATGGTCTTACCGGTGTCCAAATCAAGTTACATCAATAAGGAAATAAATTAACACATTTGAGGGCAATAGATTGTGGTATGAATAATGCAATGTGCCCCTGGGCATTAGTTCAAGTGGTAAAGATAAAAAATGAATTGGGGTAGGTCTTAGGTTCTAATCTCGCCAAGCAGTAAAACAAATATACACACAAACAAGCACAAACACATATACTGCATCACCAGTCCTAATTATACAGTTGTTTATTCTAATAGTGCATGGCAACTGGAAGAGCAGGAACTACACAACCCCATATAAAAGCTAACAAAATAAATGCAATACAAGAATGAAAAGGTCTATTGGATATATATTACAAGGCACAATGCCTCACAAAGAGGGGCGGTAAGTGATTTGTGTCATATCGTGTCAACTTAAAGAGTGGAAAATATAATTTTCCGTTACTCCATGATTTTGGGTTCAAGATTTTATCCAATGCTTTTTCTCGTATATAACTACTGGATATGGCATATTTTATTTTTTATTTGTTTAATTCTGTTATTTTCAAGATCAATGCCTACAAATGAATCAATTGAAATCTATGCTCACAAATCTAAGGCGATCACGTATGACTTATTAAGTAATTGTGTCAGATATCCTGAAACTAACTCCACCTGATGTTTACTCATGTTGTTTTGAGTTTGACACGTAAAAACCGTGAATAAGAAAGCGAAGACTGGTACCCCTTTTTCTATCAACTAAAACCACTACCGACAAGTCTCCCAAGATAAGCTAAAAATCAATTTGATATTTGTGCTACCAAAACCACAAAAAAAAAAAAAAAAACCTGTTTGTTCTACAAGGATTCATGCAATACATGATCAAGAAAGGGAAAAAAAACATATATTTTTCTCATACTACACTATTTTAAAAACTTATTATGTGAAAATTGAGTTATTTGTGTTTGAATTTGTTCGACTCTATATTATACATGTTAGCGGATTGTGTCATTTTTAAGTTTATCAGTCAACAAACTCAACACTAACCTCTAATTTTGTATCGAGTTCTTGTAGTATCGAAAATTGCCACTGCAATCATCTAACTATTAATGTCCTTCTTATGAAACTCTATATTTTAATGGGATGTGTCCATGAGAGCCAACCCAGACATCAGCCCTTCCCAACATCCTACTTGGAAGCAACTTCCAAATTTTACAGCCAAGCTGCAGACTTCACAGCCAGTCATGAAAAATATTCGGGACAAAACAGAACATATACTCCCAGAGAAATGGATTCGAATAACACTTCAAGCACTACAAGCTGGAAATAAATACTACACATAGTCATAAGTGCAAGATATGCACATAAAACCCCAGCTCTAGCTCTGCCAAAGCTGTCACCCAAAAAAAAAAAAAAAAATAGTAAGTATATCCAAGTAGCAAGTATATCCCAGCAAATATCAGAAACCAGGCGCAATTATCTACATTAAGCATATGTCTGCCTGTCCCTTTCTCCACTGATCGAACTCTCAAACACTACTAGCATGAACATAAACTTCCTGAACAAGCAAGACATCTAAAAGAACACCAACAAATGCAAAGCCATTTACGAAAAACTTACTGCATCAATATATACTACCTCAAAATGGTTCAGTTTTTGGCACACAACCATGATCAAGAAAGTCTTCAACTTGCTAGACTACGCATCAGGTCCTCCCAGATTACAATGAGGGATATGATTCCGACAATGAGAACGAGGGTACCCTCTGCCTGGTTGCCTGTGAGAAAAATGGTTGCCAACCAGTCCTGGCCAAATATCATGAGGTCCACCAATAACCCGTGGAAATGGAAGACCCAAAAACGGATTAGGATCCCTTCTGTATATTCCTCTATTGCCCCTAACTGTCATCCTCCTCCTCCTACTTTTCCGCCATTCCCAATTCTTCCCAAACTTATCTTTCCAATGGCCCCCTCCCTCCAATCTCACTGCATCACCAAACTGCTCCCCAAACTTTTGCTTCCACAAATCATCACTCGAGGCCAAGTACCTCAATTCCGAGCAAACACAAGCCACCTTTGCTATATCAACACCAGGCAATGACTCCAAAATCTTAAGTTTAAGGTCACTTGGAAGACGCATAAAGCACGGTGGAAGTTCCAAACCAGTCTTCTCACATAAATCAATCAATAAAGGCAATGCAAGCCTATCCTTCAGAGACCTCCAAAGATTAAAAACCTCTCTCTCGGGGGTTGTACTAGAAATCCCATTTTGTCCCCCGATTTCATCAACTGAACCACAATTCGCCCACACAATATTCAAGAAGGGAACCAAACTGTGTTCATCCAAACGCACCCAATGCGTTCCAGACCCATTAGCTAAAGACCCATAAACATTAAAGAACTTCCCTAAACTCTGAAACTTCAATACAACAGTATCAATTCCATTAACACTGCCATTAATTTGACCGATCATTTCAGGAAGAGTGTACCTCAATGACATCCTAAACGCCGAGGAAGGCCATTCATTGGGAAACTGAAACCCATGAACCTCGATATTGGAAACAGGATCGAATCCAATGAAGCCAGACTCTAAGAGGACAGCATGAATAGCTATCACCAATAGTTTATGATCACGACCACCATCATCACCCAATTCCTGCGTGAACACTTTCCTGAGAAACCCAGGTACAGAAAAAGACTTCCCAGCCTCCACAACAGGCCCATCATCATCTACATCCATGTACTCTTGATTTTCCCCAATTTGTGAATCCAAATCCAAACTTTCCTCTTTCTGTGTATTCAAATCTAGGGTTTTCTCGTTATGGGTATTAAAATCCAAAATACTACCAACCTTAGCTTCAGAATCTGTGATTTGTTGTTTTGGAATTGGTGTTTCTTTCGAATCTTGAGGGTCATTTGATCGGGGTTCTTGATGGGTTTGATGTTGGGCTATTGGGGTCCCAGAGGAAAACCCATTGGGGTTAAGGGTGAAGAAGATGAGATCACCGGAGGTAATACCAAGTGATTGAAGAGAGTCTTGTTCCGGTGAAGAACTATAAAGTTCGTTTTTGCGATTGAGAGAGATGTGTACGGCAGAAGAAGAAGAAGAAGAAATCCTCTGAGAAATGAGATCTTTGAATTCCTGGAGAGAGCATGGAGTGGGGACTTCCATTCTTAGGGTTTCTTTGGTTTCCAGAGATCTCAACCTCAGTTTCATGGTGTAATTGGAGAGAGAAGACGAAGAAAGCCAAGCAAGAGATGCTTTGAGATTTCAAGTATATGCCAAGAAACTATAGCCGCTGTGCTATGAGGAAAACTTATACAATAGGGACCCGCAGAGGTTTGTCTCTTAGGTGGAGTTTGGTTATATTGTGATTTTTTTTTTTTTTAATGGATAAAAAAATAAAAATATATTTGATAAATATTTTTTTTTTAACACCTCTGTTTTAAAAATAAGGCTAAACTATGAAAACATCCGAGAGGTTATTTTTGAAAACATCCAAAAACAAAAAACACACGCGTGGTTCAAAACTTCAAATATCTCGTTTAATGGGATCCTCATTTCGATTCTCCTTTAACAACAAAAAAATAAATTTTCTTTGTTTTACTATAAAAATCCCCTCTGTTAACTTTTTTTTTTTTAAGGTCTCTCAACTCTCGGCCTCTCTCTATCTTGCCCTTCTCTGATTGGATTTTGAGAGTTTCAAGATTGGATTTTGGGGGTGGTGGTGGATTTTAGGGATAAGTAATGAGTTTTACTGTAGAGTTTTCGGGGGTGGATTTCTGGGGTGGGTTGTGAGTTTTGATGGTAGAGGTTGGATTATGAGTGGGTTTCGGTGGTTGTGATGATGGGTTTCAAAGGTGTGAGTGGGTTGTGGGTTTGGGCGGTGGGGTTGCATGGTGGTTTTGGGTGGTGAATTGTTGGTATAATATCAAATAAGTTTTTTATTTTTGTTTTCACAATTTTTTAAATATAAATGATTATCAAACATGTTTTATATTTTAAATTTTTATCACCAAAAAAATAAAACTTAGTTCTATTTTTTTATTAAAAAAAACATAAAAATGAAAACATTACCAAACGTACATCACTCAAACTTCTTGACATTTAAAATACTACACAGACCCCTTAAAGTTTGAACGCGCATAACACTTAGACTCATGCTGTAAATATATTTGTTAATAAATTATACCTAAATTCCTTGAAATTTGTAGGCATATAATATTTGGACTCCTAAAATTTAAAATATTATACTTAAACAAAAAATACTCTAATAAAAGATTGAATATCAAATATTTTAAATTTTACAACCAAAATTTATGTTCTATTGTATCATTTATTGAAATAAAATCAAAAATAAATTTTTAATTTTTTTTTAAATTGTAATTAATATACAATTATACTATCTATTGGAATAAAACTAAAAAATCAAACACGAGGTCTAAGTCATTCATAATAGAATATAAATTTTACAACAAAAATTTATGTTCTATTATGTCATTTATTGAAATAAAATCAAAAGTAAAAATATATATATTTTTTAAAAATCATAGTTAGTATACAATTATATTATCTGTTAGAATAAAACTAAAAAATTAAATAAGGGGTCAAACTGTAATTGACACAATATTTTTTTAACTTTAATTGTGGTAATTTTGTATTTTAATTTAGTTGTTTAAACGATCAAATTAAATTCTAATAAAAAACGTAATTATATATTAATTATAATTTTTTAAGAAATTTTTGTATTTTGTATTTTGAATTTTGATTTTATTTTAATAAATGATACAATAGAACATGAATTTTAATTGTAAATTTTAAAATATTTTATATTTTATATTTGATTGAAATATTTTTGCCTAGTTTAACATTTTAAATTTAAGGTGTCTAAGTAATATATATTTATAAATTTCAAGGAGTCTGAGTGTAATTTATTATAGAATATATTTATAACAGGGTCTAAGTGTTGCGCGTATAAATTTTAGGAAATCTGTGTGTAATATTTCAAATATTAGAGATCTAAATAATTAAATTACAAATCTCAAAAAGTATATATGTAATTCTCCCAATATAATATTAGACATATATAGTCGCTTTAGCAACAAGTTGAAATTGTTTAGATTCGATGATTTTCTATTAGGGTAAATTTTATTTTATCTCATTGAATTCTTATCCTTGTTTTATTTTGTATCCCCAACTATAAAATTTATCACATTGTACTTTAAAGTATTAATTTTATTTTTAAACAACTGTTTATTGTACATGTGAGGTCAAAAATGAAGAAAAATACATATTCATGACTTTGTCCTTCTAAGTTCTAAATTTTTTTTTTTTTGTCGATCTTCTTTTTCTTCCTAGCAATTATTTGGTTGAAAAAGAGATACAATAAAGTCGTACTAGACACTTGGCAGAAAGTTTTTTGGGATTTTCATCTCTCTTTTAAAAAATTTTCAAGTTTGTCATTATCTATTGGAGTGATATGAAAAAGAATTAACACTTTAATGTATAATATGAGAAATTTTATAGTTAAAAGTGTAAAATGAAATAAGAGTAATAGTTCAAGGGTTAAAGTATAATTTATTATTTGCATTAATATCATCTTAGTTTTTTATAATTGCGTAGGATATAAAATTACACTCCTTCCACCTAGTTTATGCTTCTATTTCAAAAATATCCTCCGTATATTTTAAAATTTTTGTTGTCAGGTACAAAGATTTAGATTCTATTTATTATTTTTTTACACAAGTTTACTCAATAATAAATCACCTACCATGTATGGGTGAAGAGGCTCATATATAAATGATAGGTCCCACATAAGTATATGGTGAGTGATCTACCATTGAGTGAAATTATGTGAAAAAGTAATGAAGATAATCTCAGTTCTAACTATGGATCACACCCTCTAATTTAGTTGTCTAAATTAGTTGAGGACACTAACAAAATTAGTTAATATCATCCCGTGGAGTAAAAAGTTGAAAATAAATCAAGTTTTTTATTTTTCAAAGTGAGAAAACTAAAATCAAAATGAAGATAGTTTTTTTAATTCTATAATATTTATATTTTTAATAAAATTTTAATTTTTAAATTACGTAATTTAAAATTAAAATGAATATAGATAAAAGAGAGATAGATGCATTAGAAAGTGTGTTGATTAAGTTGTTAGATATTGGGGGTGTCTCGAGAATATGATGTTTTTAACAAAAAAATAAGTAAAATTTGAGATGAATTTTGATCAATGTTTACTGTTATTATACTTTTTAAAAGTTGAAAATTCAATTTTTAACTGTAATATTAGATAGATGATGACCACCCACAATAGATCTTATCAACATGTGAAATGTTATTTGCTAGATGTGACCATCGCACCCAATGTTGTTGCAATTTAGATCGAGATTGCATCCAAGAGCCGGGTTGGCAAGCTACATATAGTAAATCCTAATGTTCGGTATGATTATAATCTAGTTTGTAGGATCCCTTATCAAATAAAGGTTTTGTATAATAATAATTATCAAGTTAGCATTTTTTTATAACATGGGCGTAATGAAAAAGAGATTGTAGTTGGTGAATGTGGACCTAATGGTGGATAAATGTTTTTAATTTTGAATATCTTACGAGGGTGGGGATTTGAGTGCGAGGGGCTATTCAATAGCGGGAGGTTGTGTGGCCTAGGGTTGTTGGACGAGGAAGGTGGAAAATAGAGATCTAGTGTTAGGGTTTTATGTGTTGGGTGAATGAGTTGAGAGGTTGTGTTGGAGTTTGTAATGGAAAGGAGTTGAGTCTGGTGCATTGGGGGGTAAAAAGTGCATCAAAGAGAGAGAATAAACGAGGGGGAGACGGTCTTTGAGGGTCATGAGGTTTATGTGTTACATGCACACAAATCTGAGGTGTATCATTATAATTCTCATACTTGAGAGGTCCATCTAAGTGAAGGGACAAATTTCAGATCCATTTCAATGTAATTTATCTAATATTATAAGTAGAAAGTAGAATTCTCAACTTATAAAAACACAACAATTGTCAAGACGAATCTAATCTTCATCTAATTTAATTAAATGATACAAAATTTATCCTATTTTTTTTCTCACTAAAAAAACATTAACTTTTTTTACAACCTCTAATGTCAAACAACTCAATTAACACACTCTTCAAAAACAAATAATTCCATCAATTCACACCTACTACTCTCTTCATTTTAATTTTAAATTACTTAATTAAAAAACTAAATTATTATTTAAAATATAAATATTGCAAGATTAATATTCTATTTTTAGTATTACATAGTGTCTTAAAAAAACGTAATTATTGCTAATTCACTAATAAATAAGGTAACTTGTCGTCAAAAGTATGAGAATTTGTCGTTAAAAGCATGAGAACTACTATACTCCCGAAGTCATAGTCCAAATTTTGTATCTTAAATATATTTTCGTCACGCATATTCTATTGTGAGACCCACAAAATTAACCTTTATATTTAGTATATGGTGAAAATACATTTAGAATATAAAATTTGGGCTAATAACATTTTCCTAAAAGTACTTACCTAAAAGAAAAAGAAAAATTACCGTTAGAAAAAAGCAACAAAGAGCGAACCCAGCAAGTTCAGAGGTGGGGGAGGCGTAACTCCACGTGGGGGTTTAGATCTATAAATAACACTTCGGCTGCCGGTTTCATCTCAAGCATTACCCTCAAACCAGCGTCGCCGAGTTTGTAGCTCTGCAATACAACACTTCTGTCTCAAATTCTCACTGAACAAACCCCAGTGGTTCGATCTTTTTTTCCCCAAAGCATACAGATTTATTTATGTCAATTTGCAATTATTGACTTCGTTTCAATAGCAAAAAGCCCTTGAATGTCATAGAATTCACCAATGAACTTTATGGTTTCGACTCGTTGAATGTCGCAACTAGGTTTTGATGCTGTCTTTTAGGGTTTATGTCGAGGATAAACATATTTAGAACTGGATTTTTTTTAGGTAATGCAATTTGGGGGGTTTTTGATAAACTTTTCGGATTGAGAATTTTGGATTTAGTTGGATGGCCAATAATGTGTTGATCATGGTACATATATCATTACTCTTTTTTTGGCGAAAGACTCAGTTCAACAATTCAATGCAACTCAAATTCTATTGGAAAAACTCTTGTGCAAACATAAGCAATTTGAGTTATGAGTGAATGACTGAAATATATGGCAATACTGGTTTCAATGTATTGAGATATGTTCCTATAACGTTTTTTTTTTTTTTTGTTCTTTATGCCAATTTATTGAACCGATAAAATACAAATCATAATGTTGAGAACTTGTCTCCTTCAGTAT